TCTTCAAGGACAGGCTGGGCATCAGTCAGAAGTAAATGAGCAATTGTAGTGTGCAGCACTATTTTTTCTTGAGTTTTATTCCTCTCTCTTTCTTGTTACTTCCCATTTCATTACAATTATTACATTTTACTTTATTTCAGTTATTAAAACTGTTCCTATCTCAACAATGGGTTTTCCCTTCTTCCAGTTCCTGAGCTGGCCAAAGGGACATTCCATGCCATAGAACATCATGTTTACTATATAGAGTGGGAGAAGAAGTCCAGGAGGGGCTGATTGCTCTTCAAGGACAGGCTGGGCATCAGTCAGAAGTAAATGAGCAATTGTAGTGTGCAGCACTATTTTTTCTTGAGTTTTATTCCTCTCTCTTTCTTGTTACTTCCCATTTCATTACAATTATTACATTTTACTTTATTTCAGTTATTAAAACTGTTCCTATCTCAACAATGGGTTTTACCTTCTTCCAGTTCTCCTCCTCATCCCACTGAGGGGGACTGAGTGAGCAGGTGTGTGGTATTTAGTTGCCTGTTGGCATGAAACCACAGCATTACTTTAAACTTCATCTTCCACCTGACGGTCTGCACAAGATAACTCAAATATATTACTGATCAATATTATTTGGCACAAAAATCCCTGAGCAACAAAGAAGCTTCATTCATATCCAACAGGTTTATTGTTCTGCTACTCTTTGTGTCACAGCAGAGAGCAGCCACATCAGAGAAAGATGTTTGTTCCACTTGTGTTACAGAGGGGTTGTTTTAATGTTATTTTCTGTGTCAGCCTTACGTTGGTGCTTCTTAGTTCTTCTTCGTGACACAACCCAGCCAAGTAAAGAACCCACCAGGACCCCGGCTACTGCAGTCACAATGACAGCCCAGTAGGGGACTGAAGATTCTGTTTTCTCCAAGCTGAGATCTGGATTTCCAAATCCACTATTTCTTCGCGTGGAAAGAAAAGGTTTCTCCTACAAAGGGAGAGCAAAGGCTTTATTGACCACAGATCACTCAACGGGCGGTATTCCAACAATATGACACTGCCCCTTCTCAGAGAGAAATGGTAGACCTTTAGACAATCAGCTGGTTTTGCCTTCTCTCTATCTTAGCCCAAACATTGTCCTGCTCTATTGCCTGAAAATTCCGAGAACACAAAAAAGAAGCCACCTCAGAACCATGAGTGATGGCATCACTTCCTAATTTGCTTGCTGCAAACAAGCAAATGGAAATACACAGACTCATTAGAACTAACTTTAATGAAAGGCTTTCCATTGCAGGAGGATAAAGCTTTTTGTCTTAAATCTTAAGTAGATTTCCTTGTCTGTAATAAAACAGGGTATATTTTAGCTATTTAAAACCTTCACAAAGATACTCTTTTAAAGAGCTCTACCAGTGTGAATAAAGGAGAAAAAATAGAGGTGATTAATGGAGAGAGCACCTTCACCTTTACTTACAGGGTTTGGACACCTGAGTTTTGATCTGTCATAGGTAAAGTTGTTGTAAGTCTGCTTTTCACCAACTGGCTCCAGCTGAAGAAGAGAAAAGCAGTGTTAAACTTAATGATGAATCTTTTGCTTCTCAGACTCTCTTGATTCAGACAGTTACAACTTCTTATCCAATCTTTTGCTGCTTGCAGTAATGAAGAAGTGTGGTAGAAGGAGCAGAGGAAAGTTTGCAAACATTTTAACACTTGTGAACTGAAGACATTGAGAATCTGATGTACTGGCTGCAGAGTAACTCCCTCGGAGCAAGGAAGAGAGCAAGGATAAACGTTTTCTCCTTTTGCATTGCTCTGAATACAATGCATTCTAAATGTTCAGCTAAAGCAAAGTGGTTCACTAATACATCCAGTTCCGCCATGTACTCATCTCAAATGGCTGTGTAAACCACAAAGGAAAAAAACCCATATGATGGATGTTAGACATATTGCTTAACACATTAGTTAAAGAAAGGTGCCTAGGTGTCATGGTGATGTGAGTTCAGAAATGCAGAGTTACAGAGAGAGGATGGGACAATGCCAACCTTTACAGTCTTCACTCAGACAAGAAATTCCCTGGGAATTTTAGCTGAGGCTGGGTTCACAATCTTGCAAGAAGTGAGTTACACAGAGCCTTTTATGTTATCAGTTGGCAGCTAAGTTGCAATAGCTGACCGTAGGCTCACCCTGAGCCCATTTCCAGCCCAACGTAAAATATGCCCAGGCTAATAGCAGGCAGTTGTGCTTGGCTAGGAGTGCACATAACACTGGTTGCCATAGTTAAGCTAACAAGTAGAGGCTTGCTCAGTCATATTAACTGAAGTGTTTACAACTGTTGTATGGACATGCCTGAAGTAATGACTACAAGACTGGTCCATAGAGAACTGCAAAGTTGTCATCCAGCACTTCTGGGAATGCATTACAGAGGATGGCTGTTGCTTCTGCTATTGTCCATACAGGCATTTACTGTCCTCAAGGGATTAAAGTGTCAGCTGAAGAGAAACAATAGAGCAACAAGACCAGCACAACATGCATAAGATTCTCATATGGAAAGACTGAGAATACTTTCTCTTTCTTGTTCTTGTTTTTAATTTAAAAAAATAAAAAACAGAAAGAAGCTAGCAAAGACCGAAAAATAAAAATATATGAACCACAGAAAATATAATGAGGGAAGAGAAGAAAGCTAACAAGTGAACAGAAGATTAGAAGCAAAACAGGATGCCAAGTTTTGCTGATTGTTGTAGGGTCCCGATGGACTCTTTTATGACTCCTAATCACTTGGCCCACCCACCAACTAATGCAGCAAAGACTGAATTTGGTAGTTTTTTGTACCTTAAAGGGAACAGCTCTGTTATTTGTACAATGTGTGGCTCATATCTTGCAGCATTCTGCCTGAGGGGCAACTGGTTATTTGTAGATAATTGTAATTCTTCCCATGCCAGGGCACTTGGTAAGGATTCTGGCACAGAGCCCAGAAAAAAGATGATAAAATGCAAAATTCTCTAGCCACCCATGCTGACTTCATCTCTATGCAATCTGTTCTTCAGCAGCATTAGCTTCTGGGCTTTAAAGATGACAGTATCCCCAAGTCCATGAGCATACAGGACAAGTTCTGGAAGAAACTCACAGCTCCTCTAGAGCATGTGGCAAGCACGGAGGCAGAACACAAACCAAACACTCTGTCCATGTATCTCTTCACCTCGGCCAAACACCTGACAAGGTGGGTTTGGGACCAGTGGAAACCCCTTAAAACTACCTCTGACCTCTGAGAGTCCTCTGACCTCAGAGAGCAGGAACACTTTGTTTTGCATGAAGCCAAAAGGGCAAAGAACATTATGGCGAGGGAGAGACTCTGCAAGCCATCCCAGTCCCTGCATACCCACACAGTGGCCAGGCACAGTCTGGCCCTTTATGTGCACTGACAAGAATCCGTGTCATTTGGCCATAAGCCTGCAGCCTGCCGAGCTTTTCAGGGAACAGGGAAACAATACAGCCTTACAGTAAGCTTGCACAGCCTTGCCGTACAAGGACTGCAAGGGAAAAGCAGGGATGTGTTACAAGAACTACATTTAAATAGTAAACAGTAATATCTGCAGTTGCCACAGACCGACAGATCTCTATGGGAGGGAATAGTTGTGCTTTGCATCAGTAAGAACCTGATCCCTGCCACTCCAGTAGAAAGCTTTGTGTCAATATCTTTATATGCGTAGGAAATGAGTGGCAGTCTGGACAGAAAAAAAAATCAACTCTTGTGGCATAGGAAAAAAGACTGATGGTGATTCAGGAATGAGTAATGGCCAATAGGAATACCACATGGCAACAGAAACCCAATTTAAGACCGCCATATGCCCAGGTATTGTCCATTTTCTTTTTTTCTTGAAACTCTCAGCCATGCTCCATTTGAATTTTTCTACATTTGCCTGGGGTTTCTGGCCCACCACTAGCGGTTTAAGCTAAGAAGCAGAGTGAAGCCTACCAGCCTGCTGTCATCTGGAGTCCCAGACAGGGAAACCTGATGGAAAACAGGCAGATTTGCTGTGCGTGCACAAATCAATTACTCTGAGCATGTGCTTGCATCGTACATTCTATAGTCCTGGACCTACAGCTCACATGCTGTGCTGGGCAGCTGCACAGATTCCTGCCTTGCATTTTCCAGTCTTTACTCTCCAGCTCATTCTGGGGTATCCTGTAAGTTTCTTATCTCGCTGAAACTTTTACGTGGACAGAAAAGAAATTCCCCTCCGTTTATGTTTGTTTCTTGTGCAAACCAGGATGCAGGATTTCTGCTAGCACAATGTATTTGGCTACTGGTGTTTACCAGACAAGGGGAGAAAATGCTGCTGTGGCATAAAAATGTCATAGTCTTCCTTCCAATGTGGGGAAACATTTCTGAAAGCAACTGTGACTTTGGAGTTATCGAGTCTGGCATGTACCTCTGACACCTTCTTCTAACACTATTTGAAAGCTATTAATTTGCCCCAAAATGACAGATGGAATGTGATTACAAGCATCTTAAGTTTGATTTCAGCCCCCCATTAGTTTCAGTGACTCTACTAAAACTGCCTCATCAGATACAAGAGTGGGTGGTGCAACATGTCCACACTATTAATGGCAGCAAAAATTCAGTCACATATATGTTTTCCTAATAAATATAACAGGATTCACTGAAGAAGAGCAAGATCGTTGAACAGACATTTTCAGCAAACCTACAGAACTTAATGTTTAACTAGGCTGGCTTTTTGTTTAAATGCAAGTTATTTACCAAATCAGAAAGGAATTTTTCATTACATTAAGACTCTTGAGACTTCCCATTTTGAATGAGCAAAGACTTACCATGTTTTATGCAATATGATCACTTTGGATTATATTCCTAAGCAATGCAGAGGGAGAAGAACCTCAGAGTTGAGCAACCCCCTCTTGTTAGGATATCAATTTTATATCTTGCTTACTCTTTTGTTTCAGACACCTTTCTCATGATCTTTTGTAGATACTACTACCACAAACACATAGGGATCTAAGTTGTAATCCCTTACCATATTGTTCCAGAGAGCCATGGCCATCTCAGCATAGCCTCTTACGCTGAAATGAAAGCAGTCTGCAGCAAAGAAACTCATATCTGGCTTGCTGGTCTGCAATAAAAGCAAAATTTTTTTTCTCAGCAAATTTCAATATCTGAGATCTGATATATTATATCTAATAGTGTACCGTACTTGATATACCCACTTCACAATTTTGGTACCTTCTTAAAGGCAATATGCTCATGATTTCACACTGGAAATAAACTTGGGTGCTCCTAACTATGGGCTGATTACTGCACCCTGAGACCTTCTGTGTAATGCAGCCTGCTCAACTTCACACAAAAATTTTCATAACAACGCTAAACTTATCATTAAGCCAACAGTCACAGCTGTTACATGGACCCTGCCATTGACCCACATTCCATTTTGTACAGAACTGATAGAAAAGTGCTTATTATTGCTTTTTAAACGTCTGTGACTCAGACTTACAACATTTCAAGTGTTGAAATTTCTGCTGAATTTCAGACAACAATAAAAATGGTGGGTTTATTCAGCTGTGGTAAATGTCTCTCTTAGGAGGAATTTGCCTCATCACTACCTGTACAGTGACCATTGGTCGACCTTTTAGGCTGACAGAAAAAAAAAATGGGGATGGTATGAAAAAAGTATCAGTACTAAGCAAAACTGGGTTGTTTTGATTAGGATTCATGCTGGATATTTGTATCCTTAACTACACAGCATACATAATGCTAAGGCTGGAGAAAAGAAGGAGAATCAGTGTTTGGTTTCAAAGGCTACTTCCTGTTTCCATGCTTGGATGAGTCAGAGATTCAAGTGCTGGTCTCCATTTGAAGAAAACCTGAACACATTCCATAACCTAAATCGGGAAACTGTGGTGAACACTAACCAACCTCCTCAACAAGGGAAGCAACATGCAGTTCAGGGGAAGTCAGAGGGTGCCTTGTTTATGGGTGCATGCTATGAATGTTTCCTAAAGCCATTTTGATTCACAGGCAGCACTGTGAATCTTCTTGCAAGACTTCCTGATCTCTCCTCTTACCACGGATTCCACGCTGTGCCTCTAGACTGTGCAGAGAGACGAAAACACAGTCCTTGTGGCATGGACCTTACTGGATTAAGAGAAATCAAGATACTGGCCTCTGCATAACGGGGAAGGAAAACAGGACTCACACTATCGAGGGGCAACAAGGTGTTCCGGAAGAATGGCTGGATGACAGCAGCAAAGTCCTGCCGCTGTTCGTACCGACCGCTGTTGATCAGGCTCAGGGCTTCAGCCTGCGTGCAGTCAGTGAAAACAGAGGAGTTACTTGCAAGGCTCATCCAACATTGTCAGCTAGCAGAAACATACAGATTAAACATCTTTCATTGTAGGAAGCCCTAAATCGTAACGTGTAAATCCAGCTCAATATTATAAAGCAGTCAAGAAAATGGCTAAGAAAATAATTTGGTTCGCAAGGAGATTTTCATGAGGAAAATGTACAGAAGCTGGATTATTTCAAAGAAAAAAAGGTAAAAAATACAAAGTTGCTTAATTTAAAAAAACAAAAAAAAATTTAAATCCTTACTTATAGAAACCAAAACTGCACAATTGCAATGAGATTAAAATTTGCAGAAAATTATAAAATAAAAGAACAAGGTCAGCATTTTTAGAAGTGACAAATGAGTCCAGAATGCCAACACCTTTTTAGAAGGTGTGCTTAAATTAAAATAATACTTAAACATTGAAAAACTACCTGCCACTTTCAAAAATTATGGTCACAGACATTCATACAAATAAAAAAGCCCCATCTCATCGTTACTTGCCATCTTATGGGTATAAATGCTCCTGGTCATATCTCAAAACATTCCTAATCCCTCTTCCTTAGTTAAGGAAAATTACCCCTCTAGTAGGCTTATACAAGCATTACCCAGGGTAATTTCTCAAGCTTTGTCAGATTCATTGGACAACAGCCACTGCCAGAGCCAGAATGGAGAACATGATGTGATCTGATACAGTGATTCCTGTATTCATAAGAACATCGATGGAAAAAGCTTCTGCTCCAATACTATTTATAGCCTCTGTTAATTTTGAGTGAATCTTACGCCTGAGGCTATGAAAAGTTACTCTCAAATAGCAAGCTGGCCCATGGTTGGTTTAGTTAATTTCTTCTGCTAAGAGTAACCACAAAACAGCTGATGCAAGGTCATTTGTCACTCTTGCAGTGACATGTTAATTCATGTCAGCTACTCATTGGACTCATAACAGACAAACACATATCAACAAAGCAGCCATCATTGCTAAATCCTTTTTGGCTGTTGAAAAAGCAGCTGGAAACAGAACTGGTCTCCATCTGCATCCAGCTCAGATCTGAGGTCAAATCAGAAGGCAATGTGGAAAGTCTTGCACTGCACTCAGCTAATTGGTTAGCTGAGTAGGGTTTTGATTAGGCTGTAACCAAGTTGTTTTCCAGTTATCCCTCTCTGTACTGCTGAGAATATGCACAATAGGAAAGGCAATGAGGGAAGCAATATAAAGATGGCCAGTTACAGAATCAATGCATTACCTGAAAATCTCTGTTAACTCTCTTCATCTCTTGAAATTCAGAAGAATTTTCCTCTGGGTTTAAGAAACATGGGCAAACCTTCCTTCAATGAAAGAAATACTAGAGTTAAAAGCCAGTCTAGAATAGTTTATTCACAGTTCTTCAGCACTGCATGTCTGCTTCAAGAAGCTCAGGACAGGTGCTCAAAACTCACATGCAGAAGAGAGAGCCATCTTGGTGACTTAGGAATGGACAGATACTTCACAAAAGAAAAATCTCTACTGACTTACTTTTCAAAATTAACACCTACCACAGGCAGAAAGAGCTGCAGGATCCGCAACTCTTGCTTGAGTCAAATGCAAAACAGTGTTTAGTGTGCCACACATCAGCAGGAAATTACACGTGTTAGAATAACAAGAAAACCCACCCCATGAATGGGCTTTCAGACGTCTGGGAGTGTAAAGTTAGAAAAGACAAATTTTTCTTGTAGTCGGAGTCCTTGCACCACTCAGTTTTATTATGTTACCTTCATAACAAGAGGTAATAACTTGTGCTCCACTGAAATTCATCTTCTAAGAATGTGCTTGGAATGAATATGAAGACATTGAACAAGACCATCAATTCATTATTTTCCCTTCCAGTGTGTTCCTGTAGTCAATCACTTGTATTTTTAAAAATCTGTGCCTAACTTAATTGGAATTCATTTGGCATCACCTTGCATCTACTGGTCTTTGTTATACCTTTCTCTGCAAGACTAAAGAGCCTTTTCACATCCATTCTGATGCCTTTAAAGACACTGCTGCTTTCTAAAACAAGTCTCTCAACCTTTATGAGTTAAGATTTTGGTCTCCTTCTTTAGGTGTGAGGAGCAGCTCCTGGCTGTGCTCTGCTGCATGCAGCCCAGCCTGCATCAGAGGTAATGCAACCCTGGATACAAAGAGAGGAATCAGGGATGTCAGCCTGTGCTGCTGACCAGCAGATGGCTGGGCAAAAAAGCCTTTGAAGTTCAGCAATCATATGTTGACTTGTGCTGTGTCATGCTGCCTTACAGCTGAGAAGTGAGAACTCTGCTATCTACAGGTGCAGGCTTTTTAGCTGAAGTATTGCAAAAAGCAATAGTGAGCTGATGGGAACTAGTGGATCAGGTAAAGGCAGCAATGCACATAGCTTGGAAAGCTCAGTGTGCATGTCCTCCTGCAGAAATTGAGACTGAGCCAAAAAAATATCACTTCATAGGCAAAGAGCTGTTTTGCTCACTTACTTTGCTGTCAAGGCACACTCTGAAGAGCTTGCTGTGATTTGACGCAGCCCAGAGAACTCCGGCATCTCCACCACGTTGATAAAGACTCTTGGGAGCTGCGAGCATTATAATAACCAGACACACAGACATGTTACAAATAACAGAACATGATACCACTACAAAGAGCAAGAAGTGCCATCCATAGGTCAGGGAGTCAGTGCAAACTGCACAGCCTGTAGCCAATGGCATGAGCAAGGATGATGTATAAAAAGAGGGGGAGGGAGACATAGAGTGGATGTCAGCCAAAAAATTCCAGCAGCTAGTACAAACTAACTGAAATGCTGTTCTGCTCCCTGGGACATTTCCATTTGCTGTAGGGTAAATGAAACTCTTCATGGCTGGTTTAGCCACGAAAACTGGCTGTAGGGTCATGGTATGTTTGGTCCACAGCATAAATATTGTCAAACACACCGTTTTTCTGAAACTGCAGCTTCTTTCTCAGGGAATTAGCTAGTACAGTCATTGAAATGCAGCACTGAAGAACAGTCTGACTCCAGCTATTTGAAAGATGACCTTGCATGAAACATAATCACTGACAGTCTATCAGAGGTGAGAAAAACATCAGTGTACTTGCCAGGAACATAGCTTGCTAGGGTATCTTAAAAGCTTACCTCCTTATAGAAAATATCCAGAGTGTCCTGAAGGTGCTTTACATACTTTTGCACTGAATAGGTCTCCTATTAAAAATAATTTTAAAAGAAAAATCAAAAAATTGAGTCAGTCTTTTTCAGGAGCCAACAAGGTGATCTGTGAGAAGATACACGAACTCGGTGCTCCTTTTTTCTTTTGCTGGCAGATCTATTTCCAGATCAAGAAGTTTACTGGCACATGTACAGAGGTTATATAGTGCTTATGTTTTTATACCATTAATATATTCCTCTAATCTCTGTAGAAAATCCTGAGGTATCTTGGGATGCCTTTCCCTGATAATGACTATATTGATCATATTTTTGGATTTTGGGCTGTCTTTTATGGGACCCAGAGCAGACTGATTTGCCTTATGAACAGAACAATATTTTTTTTTCAAACTGCCCATCTAAAGAAAAAGAAACTGATATGAAGGCAGTCAGACCCCACAAAGCCCATAAGCAAAACAACTTTGTGACTGTAGTTATAGAGGTGCAGCTGTGGGGACAAAGGCTCCAGGCAGCAGCCTGTAAAGGAAAGAGCAAAACAGAGAACAGTGACTGGTCATTTCAACAAGCTGGGGTACAGACCACCAGTCTGTGCCACACAACCAGTTTCAGAGGGCATGACCACTGACAGCTGAAGAAAAGACACGTTTTTCCCTATAAGCTGATGTTACTATTTTGGGTGTCATTCTGAAGCAAGAATTGGGCATCCTCAGTAATTATTGTGTGGAAATGTTTTCCACATGTTTTCAGTTGTGTCCCCTCACATGCCTGAGACACCACACTGATTACTTTGTCCAGTTATAAGCAGGGAGAGCTCTTCAGCTTAATCTTTGCGTTTTGTTCAATATTAGCAGGTTCCTAGTACTCAAATAATGCATTTCTCCAGAGCTGCAGTGCCTCTGTATTAAAAGCTGTGCTCTTGTTTCCGAAACAATAAAGATGAAAGGGGCAGGATTTCTAAGTGCTTTTTAAACAAAGAGGAACTTTGGCTCCATGAGAGAGAGAAAGGCTATGTTTCCAAGGCTGGTCACCTGCCAAATGCCTGGATGAGCATGCCTAATTCAGAGATACAAACCTTGTCCAAGCAGTACTGGCATAGGTCACTGCCTCCAACAAGGATGGTAATCAGCTTCCAGTCTTCTTTGAAGTTAATTTTCTAGTGGCAAATAAAATAAACAGATTGCAGCATCCATTGCTTAGGCATGCAGAGGTAACATTCACAAATGGGGCTAAATGGGCGCAGACAGTAGGGCAGAACAAAGGAGGTATGCTGAGTTAAGCTGGCAAAAGAAAAGCATCTCTCCAGGGGGAAAATCTGAACTGTTTGCTAGTCTGCTGCAATTCACCTTGGCTCCTGTAAGGAAATTCCCTTCAGCAGACAAGCTCTGTCAGGGTAACCAAGCACGGAAATGTGTCTGTGGCAGCAAGCATCCCTAAATGAATGTCACCTTCAGAACAGGGGTGGACAGGAGAGATTTGCCAGCCATGGCTGCACACTGCAGGCAGCGTGGGGATAAAGCCGTGTGGGAATGGAGGCTGGAGTGACTCATGTGGCTGTGGAACTGGAGCTGCTGGGGATCCCTGCCAGCTGGGCAAGAATTACCCCGTGGCCAGGAGGGGCAAGGGGTGCCCCAGGGAACAGACAGCTGGATTAAAATAGAAGAGTCCAGGAGGCTGCTGACTTCACTGAGCTCATATAAGGGCAGCTGCAGCATCCACGTCACCACAAGCTAACAATAGGCGCTGCTGAGAGCTGGATCTCATCAAAACATTTTGTAACATTCAGTACAAAGAAAGGAATCAAAGGCAACTATTTTTAGTGTAATCCATTTACATAACAAACATCTGCGAAAGGATCCCACAAATAGAGGGAGGGCCTGGGAATCACCCAGGTCTGAATTCTCCTCTTTAACCAGCAATTTGCTCAGAAAGACTTTCATGAAGAGGCAATGTTATGGCAGGGATACACCCCTCTCCCTTTTTTTTTTAAAAATGCATAAAAAGCTGTGAATAAACTAAAGCATGACAGCCTCTCCTCTTCTATTCTATTGAAAAGCCATGCCAGCTCTCTCCACCCTGCCAAACAATTGGCAATGCAGAGTAACTGACAGTGGGGTGAGCATGCAGCATCCATCAAGAGTTCTGGCATGGAGAACCACATGCTTTGACAAATCCTGCTTATTCAGTGCCTTCCTTTCCCATTCAGTCTGAGCCAAGGAGCACCAGGCACTCCCATTCCCTTAGAGGGAATGCTCTCCCTGAACCAATAACTTACACCCAGACAGTCTTCCACTCAAATCCAGCCAGCACTCAGAGCAAGGCAGCCTTGGTAACCCAGATTTCTTCCCTTCCCTGCTTTTGATGCCCTTTGTTGCCCTCAGTGGAGCTGGACAGCAGACTGGTCCACAATGCTAGATCCCCTACTAATTCCCTAAAAGATTATGGTGCGACAGAGATTATTCCATTTCTGAACTTTCTGGTCACTAATTAATTATTTGCCTGCTCAAAACCAGACTTTGAGAGGGCTTTTTCTCCTGCAAAGACTTCATAGTCCCTCTTCCCATTACTGTGACTCAGGTTGGTCTGCAGACCTACCTGCTTCATCAATTTTACATTCAGTCTTTATGACCTTCACTTTGAAGGCTGCTGCTCAACAAAGCATTCCTGTGATCTTGCCAGAGCCTTCAGATTTCTCCTCTTCCTCACTACCATCCTTACATCTCCTGGCTGCACTGCAGCCTACATTAGGCGTAATTCATCTGGCACATTCAACTTGGAAAGCACAGCAAAGGGCTTTTCTTTCATCAGTAGAGCACTCTTCACGACTCAAGCATCCCATTAACTACAGTCATCTCCCAGAGACACTGGCAGCACAGAGGTGTGGCTCAAATCCCACTCACCGAGCTGCTTCTCATCAGCTCCACCAATGCACGTGCTTGGGCTGGCATATCACTAGGAGAGAGAACAGAAGATTCCAGATGTGTTTCCAAAAGCACGTCACCTTCTTGATCCCCACTCCTCATCGCAGGGGATCTCAGCATCAGCAGAAATCAGAATAAGGAAAGTGATGCCTCAAAAGGCTGAACAAACACTGAAGGACCAAGTTGCACAAGTGAATAACCTGATCCGAAAAGGCTTCAGCTGGGATGGCTGCCAAGTGGCAGGCAACTGGTATGAGTTCTTCCCATCTTTGACTTGGCCTTAGTACATTTTGTTTGGGGAAAAAACTAATGCCCAGATGCACAGAGACATTGAGTTGCATAACTCGCTTCAAAAATCTAGCGGGGCAGTTTGGTGCTGACACAGAAGCTGGGCACCTAACCAGCCTTCCTGATCTGGCCTTAAATTCCTATGGCTTGTCTTATGGCTGGAAGAAAGTGCTTACATTGTGAGACTGCCAGGCTCGAGAGTCCCAGTCCAGCTCTGGACAGGATGCAACATCCACGGGCCAAAGCACAAACCATGCTGAGACACCAGCTGGAAATGAGCTCCTGGTATACTAGAAAAAGACTGTGCTTGAGCTAATAAGCCCTGCCTGTCTCCAGCAACTACACAAGTGCAGTTACATTATTTGGATTCCTAGAACCATATTGATCACGCTGAGTCAGCTTTGCTCAGGGAACCTATGAAATATTTAGTAGCTATACAGGCTTTGATAGTTATCCTAAATCTCTCTTCCAGCAGATTTAATGGCTGTTAAAGGTGTCACAAAAAGCTTTGGAAACAAATTCTGTGAGTATTCATGGAGCAAGTACAGTGTAAGCCATACAAATTCTGATATGTTTTAGTTGTTAACAGACTAGTAGATCTTTTCTTCAGGAAGAGAAAGGAGTTATCTCCCAGCTGTTTTGGGTTTTTTTTTTCCCTTTGCTCTGCAAACAGGGATAATTTTTAATGGCATTAGGGTAGAAGTGGGCTTCTATTTGTTAGTTTCAGGCACATTCTCCAGAAATCAAGGAATAAAAGAGATGCTCATGAATTTTTTCCCCATTACAGATATTGTCTGACAGTGAATTAGGGATCTGTACACTGAAGACTGGGCCAAAAAAGGTACCAGTTGAATTACAAGCATAACTAAGGCATTGGCTCAAAAATTATGGGCAGAAATAGAATAAATAAAGGAGGCTTGTGTCTAATTTAGAAAAAGATAACAAATAAATCCCCCAAATACTGAATTGATTAAAAAAACCAAAAACCTGAAACGCACAATTAAAAACATCAGATGACAGAAACATGCTGAGTACCAGCAGGTCACCAGCATTACCCCTGCCCTGACATGCATCACAAAGGTAACCTGCCAGTCCATCACTTCTCACTCCTTTGGGATTGTCCTTACCCTGCTGCAGCATTTCTCTCTGCAACGTTGAATCCAGCTGTTTCCTTAGAACTGCCAGTGGAGAAGCCAAAGATGTTTGGATTGAATTTCTTCAAGATGTCTTAAAAAGATAAACCACAGTGTTTAACCATCCACAGTACAGCCAGCAGCGTTGCCTCCCTGCAGAGCAGGAGCCAGTTGAGAGGTGAGAATACTGACCTGTGTTTTCTCCTCATTCACTATGACTTACAGGAGCTAGAGACACACCTGCTTTGGAGACTCTAGTTACTGTCCAAATTTCATCACTGCCATTATTTCTCTCAGTGGGCCTGAGGAACCAAGGCCTGGTGGCCCAGGAGATGCATAGATGGATCCTGGGCAAATCACTAGTCTTGCATTTGTCAGAATATTCGTGGTTGCTTTCTTTCATGTACCAGAAGCAGATTCCCTGAATATGGCCCTCTACCTCTCAACTCCTCCAGCTAGATAATAATACTTGTGGCAGAGAAGGGAATTTTTTAAATTTTTCTGGATTTCACTGAAACTTTTAGTGGGGAAGCATGACGTCTGAAAACTGTTATTGTTACTGTGTCTGTAGTACTGCTGTCTGAAACCTTTCCATACAACCTCATTCATAATGCATAAATGAATTGTGCCTTCTATTTTTCTTCAAACACAGTGATATGCCTGGTACAAGGCAAAGCACATCAGATTTTTTACTGACAATGTCAGATATTGTCAAGCTGCTCCACAGCATGGATCACATGCAAATAGAGCAGCCATTGTAAACCAAGTGCCTTCCAATTTATTGTCATATTGACCACTTAATAGTTTCTATGGCAACTACAGACCAAATTACACAGAACACTAGGGCAAAAATTTATAGTACTTTTAGATTTTTTTTCCTCATTGCTATGAAGCAACTTGAAATCATCTGGAAGAACTACAGCTTTGCCAACAATCCTGGCTAGATGGACTGGTAGTTGTTTCATAACCCTTCATTTGTCCACAGACATTACAGTCAGTCACTGGAAAGCACAAAACAAAATAAGGGAAGAAGAGGTTTGCCACAAACTTCTGTCACCTTCAGCACATTTACTACTAATTCTTTTGGCCAAAAGGACGATACACTCACATGCAGGTCCTGTGATGTGGAGGGGCTGAATCAACTTTACAGCTAATCAGGTCAGTCTGGATCTCAGCTCACTCACATGAACTGCTTATACCCACAACAGATGGACATCCCCACTGTTTTCAAGGAATGACCATTTCCAGATGTTTCCTAGCATGTACTTAAATCACTTTCAGTGTAATACCTAACTTCTGCTTTTCTAGGATACTCACTGGGTAAAGTAGCCTGGATCTCCAGAGTGTCATCACCCCCAATACTACAAAGGGAAAGAACAAAATCAGCCAGTAGGGTTAATCCTGCAGCCATCTGTCTTATTGTCACCACATGTTGTTATAGCAGCCCAAGAAGGAAAAAACAATCTCCCTTCCCCCCCGCAAAATACTTGCTTCAAACAGGACTAAGGAGATAAACCACAGGAATTCAAGGAAAGTAGTGAAAGGATAACTCACATTAAATAAAGCAAGGCAGCACTAAGATAGAAGCTATCCTTCGTGCTGGGAACAGACCATATTGGGAGAACTGATTTTTCATCTGGACATGCTGGGATACCTACCACAGAAAGGCATATTTCCTCACTAAAGCTGCTCCATGTCACCTTGCTGAAGCTCCATTTGCACGCAGTTATGCATAGCAGAGACTGCATTAAATATTCATTAACAACCTATTTGCAATGCTGCAATGCCAATGACATAGAGCCTCTGCCACACCTTTCCAAACTTGTCTGTGTGCAGAGCCAATACACACTTACACCACTTGTAGCTGCCCCTCCTGAAAATATCCATGCCTGCTGACATGTGCAAAGGGATGAAGAAAGAGCAAAGAGGACAATGTATACATGCACACACTTATCAACCATACGTGTGGCCATAGGGAGCAGGCAGTTTCCTTCCACTCTAGCATGGATATTGAGCTTCACACCCTCTGATGTGCATTATTTGCCCACTTTGCAATAGCAAAGGTGTTTGGAACATCTTTACTGAGTATGTATGCAGTGCTCTTCCATGTTCATGCCAACCCACACTCACTGAGACCTTCCAGCATTACATACTGCATAGATAATCACAGCAACATTTTGAATAAGCTCCAGAGAGACTAGCAAAACTCTAAAAGGTATTGGGACACAGAACCATGCTTGTAGCAATCAGGTTAGGATAACACATACACACACAAAAGAAAAAAAAAAAAAAGAAAAAAGAAGAAAGAAAAAGCCCACAAAAACAAACATAACCTACCCACCCAGACCCCCACTCCTTTTCTCTTCCAGTCCCGACTCCTCCAATCCTTACCAAGCAATACTTGCTGTCAGCACCCTTCCCCTGAATTTACATATACAAAGATGTAATTACACAACCAGGTGACCCACACTTTTAACTGTGTGCACAAAAACAGAGAAAAAAGAAAAAGAGCACTTTCACTCACCTCCAGGAAAGTCCCCTCCAGTCTGTTTGTAGGTCTGGTACTTTGGCTCCTACTGCAGTCTGGAAAAGATGGAAATAACAACTGATAAAATACTGAAAGGTAAAAAAGCCCTATGAATTTAGGAAAGATAGACATCATGTTTTGAAAGTGCTGAAACATTCTTCTAACATTACTCTGCAGCCAGCCAAGACTTTGCAATATCCCAACTTTAGCATAAGTGGTCTGTGTCCTTATTCACCACCACACACTGGCCTGTGGGCAGCCCTGCATCTCCCATACTTCAATTTTCTGTGCTTCTCCTCACATGCAAAAGGAATTCATCTAGATAGCAGACCATGGAGCATCAGAGGAGATGTAGTCCAGCCAGAGGACATCAGATTGTAAGGTCAAGGACATAAGAGTTTAAAGTTGCTACTCATACTGTTTTAGCAACCCAATGGGACCCAGATTAACATCAATGGGTTTGTATTTGTTTGGATTTTTTCTGATGGAAAATGCTTCATGCTGGCATCTCCCAAAGACAGATGATTTGAGAGACTTAATAACCAGGAAAAAAAGCCCCAAACACTGATGAAAAATCCCCATCCAGTTTTAGCTGTACATAAATCAGAGAAGCTGCTTTTTAATCTGCCAAAAAACCAAATCTTTGGGGTACAATCCATTTTTCCTCTCCTGGATCCAGTCTACTACTTAGCACACAGACTTGATGAGGTGTAGACAGGATTTTTTTTGCCAGTATAGATAAGCATGTTGATGTGTCTATTGCTTTCACTATGCATCAGTGCTAGAGAAGCCAGATAAATGAATTCTAACCAGTGACATGACTAAATTGCTCAATTTTTCATTAATCTCCAACTGTATCTAGATTGAGACAGCCTTTCTTCCTGCACTGTGAACTTTCATTTCCTTCAAAATTAAATAAATACATAAAGCCATCCGAACAAAGACCTCTGTGCTGAATTTGGGTGGCTCACAGGACGGGGACAGACCTCTAGCAAGGTCAGCACCCTGACTCACATTCAGGACAGCAAACATGAGGAGGAGTTCTTCTGCAGCTTTACAGTTTTTTAGTGGTCTCACCTACTTTTGTATTCTTCAAAAAGCCATGGCACCAATTCAGCCACAAACACTGACTGCATTCAGGGATCTTGTGAGGAGTACCAGGAGGACAATCCATGCCTTGGTGGACTTTGCTGCTGCAGTGCCCCTGTGCCAAGGATGGTCACCCCACACAATGTGCATGCGGCTGCTGTGGGAGGTGTGAGTATGTGCACACGTGTGGAAAACACTCTGACACTTTTTATGCCTGCCCCCAAATAAATCACTTAATAAAGCCCCCAAACACACCTTGCTGTGGCAGTGGCAACTGGTAGGAACTGCATGAATAATGGCATTATAAGAACCTGCCTTGCTCAGCCCTTGAGACAGAGATCTCAAGCACCATAATCTGGCCCCTATGACTATGGTTTTCTGAGATATTTCATATATGAAAAGAACTAATATTTTTAAAACAGGAGAGATGTGCTAGTGCACATACCTAGCATTTGATGTGGGGGAGGAAATAAAGCAGTTCATTTTAAGAGTCATGGCAATGGATAAGAGGGAGACTTGTAGGGCTTTACTGCTTTCTTCTAAAAAAAGCTCAAAACTTTGCAGCAGGGGAAAAGCCAGGATTATATCAGGTCAAGCAAAATCAGGTTCAGAGCTAATGAGAAGATGCATGATGCATAATGAAGACATGCACACCTGCCTGTAAGATAAGCCTGATCATTTAAGGGATTCAGACCCTTCAAGTCCCTCTGAACTCAACAGGAAGATAATCTGCTGGAATGAGCACTGGTTTAGTTCAGGAGCTAAAATTCATGGAAACTGTTGACGCAAATGTTTGCTTTCATCCCGTGCCAGAACAATTCTGCAGGGCTGTGTAATTCTAGAACTTTTTCTCAGAAAACTTCAGTGCAGATCTGCAGTATTCCCTGCTATTTTTTTTCTGGGGTCTTTCTGGGGTTTTTTGTGCCTACTTTTTGTTTTAAACCTCCATTTCTTAGTACTTGAAATACATCAGAGCTGTAACTGGAAGACATCTAGGAATGCAACCCAGGAAGCAAAATCTGAAAGCAAAACTCTGAAATACAGAAGTATCAGAATTCTGTCAAGTGGGAAGCACTTCATTTTGCAATCAATTATTTCCATGGGACTTTTCAGCAAAATGTCTTCTTGCATCAAAAATATCAACTGCTTTCACTTCTTTTTTTTTTCATGTCGGATGAGACTAATCCTATAAGACAGACACTTCCCTTTTCAAAAACACTTGGATAAACTGTATGCAATAGAGAAAGGGATCCTATTTCTGTCCTGGCCTGAACTATTCATTACTGAATTACTCAATTGCCAATGTCACTCATATCCCTTCAGGCTATTTCTTTGCAAAGGGAACCAGGTAGATGAGTTTTGCTTTGCCAAGCCAAAGCAATTTGCTTTCTATCTGATGATGCCTGACGTGACAACATCTGGGTAGAAATCAACAACTGCTCTTCTCATTGCAAACATGGGAATGCAGCAGTACTCACAGTCAAGGAATCTCCAAGTGCTCCTATGACTTTGATGTCAGCAGGCCGTAGCTCATGGACTAAAAAGCAGTAGGAGAATAAAAGCAGGATTACCGACAACTGACAAAATACTGTTTAATAGAGTAAACATGCAAGCCTTAGGTTCCAATCTGATGGCATTTTTGCAGACTTCTAAGGTAGAAAAAGCTTCAGGTTCTGTGTGTCACCTAGGCAAAATGCATAACTTCCTGCCTTTGGTTGCAACAATACATTACATTAATATGGAAAGAAATTGAACTTAAAACAGCCTAGGTTAAAAATGAAAACAGACTAGATGCATACATTCAATCTCTTTTAATTGACTTACAGGTTTGGGTCATAGATCAAGATTTCCTATTAAATATCTCCCTGTAAAACCTTCAAACTGCACACAGCACTTGCACTACACTGCTTATCACAGCACATTCCAGCTTGCTAAGTCACTGACCCTCCTGGGTAATTTTAATCTGCCATGTTGCTGTATGATGAATAACGTATAAGATACATGCATACAATAAATGTGATCACACATTTATTACATACCTGCTGTCATGCAGAACTTACTGTGAATGGCAAGACAGACTTCTTACCTTTGCTGCTAAATATATCAGCTTTTATTGTTTACTTTCCATCTAGGTTGTGCAATTTCAACATCTTATTGCTTTTAGAAACAAAAGATGAAGTTTTTCCTATGTATGATTTTAGGTTGGGTGTTCCTTCTCACCTGATGTTGGGACACTAGTGGATGGAGTGTGACCAGGACATGACAGTTCACTGCCCCAATTCTGAAATGAGAAGTTACAAAATTGTTTCATCTTGTAGCTTAAAGATAATGTGGAATTCATATATAGTTTAGTTGTACAGTGTAGGGCAAAACCAAGTTAAAACATAGATCCTAGTTTGGTACCTATGTAGCTCAACAGTCTTTTTACATCTCTTTGTGGAACACTATCCAAACAATCATTACTTCTGGTGACATTTTCTAGCCAAAGCATAAAACTCTACCAAAGGCAAAACATTTCATCTTGAAATACTGCTTATGACAAAATTCCATAAAGATGACTATATCTCCCTCTCCACTGCCACTGTCCATGACCTACAAGGTGGGGTCTCCAGGTTTGAAGTCTTGCTCTGTCCCAAAAGATATCAGATGTAAAAGCAAATAAAGGTGAACAATAAAATCCCCTGCAAAGTTATTATGTTACACTAATGTAATGTATTATTATATTAGCTGGTAAAGGGTTTGAACATAATTCCTAAGAGGAGGAGTTGAGGGAATTGAGGTTGTTTAGCCTGGAAAAAAGAAGGCTCAGGGGTGAACTTATCACTCTACCACTGTGCGAAAGGAGGCGTGATGATGCAGGAGTCTGTCTCTTCTCCCAGGCAACCAGTGAAGGAACAAGGGCAAATGAACGAGGGAAGGTTCAGGTTGGATATTAGAAAAAAAATTCTTCACTCAAAGAGTGGTCAGTCATTGGAAGAACCTTATATATTCTATTATTATATTATCGTTCCCCATGTACTTTGCCAAGAACCTATTCTTTCCCTAGAAACTTTCAAAAATGGCTTGCTTTTACTGAATATAAAATGTGAATAAAACTCAAAGCTTTAAAAGTTCCAGCACAGAAAATTGTTGGGCTCTAAATAATTGTACTTTACCATACATTTTTAGGTGACATAATGTCACGTATACTTATTATGTATATTCCACCAATTGAAGATATTGAGTCAAACACACATTGCATAACACCTTAGTTCACCAGCAGAGACAGCTGATTAATGTCTCCACGTGCTTTTTGGTAACAAGCAACCATATTAGCCAAGAAGGCAGCAAGGGAAAAACTGGAAATGTTACAGTGGCCAGTCCTTGCAGGAACTATGATAGCTGTGTACACAGACCAAAAGGCCAGCCCTGCTAGAAGCAGGAGATCAGGCTAGGGATGTCCTGAGGACCTTCCAAGCTGAATTATTCTGTGACTGCACAATTCCACCAGAGTAAAACTGCATAGACCAGTGGTCTTCAGAAATCACGGTTGCTGTTAAAAAACATCACGACAAATTCATCTGTTCCTGTAAAAAGATGTTGTAGTATGCTCCACTATCAACCACTAAAGTCTGGTTGCAGAGGCTAGAAAGGACAGATAGGCTTATTTTTAGATCAGAAAGCATTGCTTCACCCTCTCTCTTCTTCTTTCCTTTATCACTTCAAAAGCTGCTGCTGCTGAGATTCAGTGGAATTACCTATTAAAGCATAACTCTAGCTCTACTGATAAAAATCTCACGTCAGTCCTGCAAACTATGACTTGCTAAGACAATGACTGCTGTTCTTTGTGACCATCATGGCACATAAACACTTTGGTAATTGGGTTAGTCATGAGCACCCCCAGTATGTCAAACTAGCCCAGTCCATTTTGACTGCCAAGCAAATAACTGCTCCATTTCTTCAAGTCCTATGCACAATATCTGTTTCTGCAGTTTATTGAGCATGCCTCATGATAGTTGCTCAGTCATGGTGGAAATTAAGTCCCTTTGAAAAATGGGATTCCTATCACCTTTGTATAGGGTCACACATCCAACATGTAAAGGTGACTGCCCTCTTCAGGATAAGTTTATTTGAGTGTAAGGAAGAACAGTGCCTCCAGAGGAGAATATCTAAACTTTCCTCACGTTATTTGGGGGTCAGAATTCTAAGACAGCTTCTCCATACTGTGAGGAGCTTGCTATCTGAATTAATCACGCATTCCAGGTTACTTACTTTTGTTACAGTTTTAATACAATTGCACCATTAATATAATTAATTTTGTTTGGCTTTTAGGAAAGCATTTGTTTACGCAATGAAAAGTGCAGTGCAAGGCAGAATTCTCTTTCCAAAAACTGGTAATAGTTTATATAATCTATTAATTCAGGATGATGTGTTAAGAGATGAGACACAACTTTACATAGTTTGCCTTAAATGAAGCAAAAGATGCAACAATTACCTCTATTGGCTCTCTAGTGGGCTCCACAGGTGTGTAGTTGCTATTCCTGTACGTTCCCAGGAAGGGACTGTTCTGGAGAAAGAGGAAACAAAATAAGATAAATAAGAGAAACCAGGCAATGAGCACATGACACAAACCATAGCAAGTGATATCAAGGTATCATATAACCAAGAAAGTAATCACCTAAACTATAAAATGGGAATCTGGACTTTGAAACCAGGCTTCTTCCTTAAAAGGAATAAAATTTGTGTTTAGTACCTTAGGACAAAAATTACATATGCCAGATGCCAATTGCAGTTCAATATTTTCCTCTCCTAACATTCCAAATTAGACTTTATTAGAAGTTTAGTCCTTTCAAAAGTGCTGATGTAGAATCTAGACAAACTGGGCAGATCTTCTGTGTCACAGCAGGGAGATGAAAGATTGCTTACTGAAAAGATCATTCTTTCCTCCAAGGGAGGCTATAGAAATTTCACTGTTATTTTTGTCCCCTACTGATGCAGCATGCATTCAGGAAGTCATGCACATCATACAGGCTAAAAAAATTCACCTGGAGGCTCACTTACCTCAATGAAGACAAACTCCAGCATCTGCATAAAGAAGTCTTTAAAAGCACTAAAATTAGAAAGCAGGTTTTTATGGTACTTAAGGTTGCCTCAAAACAAATAATTTTCCATGGCTACTGGCACTTTTATCAATGACCTATTCATTGCATTTAGGCTTACTAAAGGCTTACCATTTCCGCAAAAAAAAGGCCATATACCTGCTCAAGGGATATAAAACTTTTCTTTGCCTACTTCTGAAAAGCAACATCTTTGAATAAGAGTTAAAGGAAAGAAGCATAAAACCCACATTTTTTGGCACTGAAGAAAATGCTGAGTTCATTTAAGCTGCTTGGAAAGAATGCTAGGTAAATGAAGTAGGATCAATTTGAGCAAATCAGAGGACTTCTGAAATATGCTGGTTAATAACTCAGGAGATTTTCCTTGTCTGACAGGATGGACACAATATGGACAAAAGCCTTGTGCACAACTTGAATGCCTGCCTCCAGACCTAAGAGAACTCAGAACTCAGCTCCCCAGTCTGTTCAGTTCTTTGGTCTTCTGGCTGAAACTGCTGAAGAAAGGCAGCCAGTTATTGCTGCCTGCAGCAGTCATTTCCACGTGCTGGTACCTAGCAACTGTCCTGCAAGTTCAGCAGCTTGTTTTGTAACTGCAGAAGTAGCTTCCAAAGAGTCTGAAGTATTCCTCTTACAGATCAGGCCAGGAAAGCCATCCTGACACTAATCCAAGAGATGACAGATTCTGGGTTTTCAAAGCTCCTGTGGTGCCCAAATCTCATTGATTCTGATGGGAAAGTTAATGCAGCATGTTCTGTTGTTTGCTGCTTGTGCTGCCTCTGTACTTCACAAACAACAAAAAACAACCTCTGCTGCAACTGCTAACACACAAATCAGCATGTTGTGAATCAGTATTCATGGCACTGCAAAGTGGCCATGGGACACCAGTGCAGGTATATGAGAACACCTGCTCACTCAGAAGTAAACAGAACAAAGTAAGCTTATTCCAGACAGACCACATCCCTGCTCTCTGCAGCACACACAGGCAGTACAGCCTCCTGACAGCCAGCTTCCAAATTGTGGGTATGTTTACCTGAGCTGGACAGCCAAGGACGATGTCAGCTGAGAAATCAAATGAGTCAGCTTTCTGGCCCACAGGCTGTAACTGGAAACAAAGACAAAAGAACCCATTTTTTAACCATGTCAGCTCATCTTAAATTTGTAAAACAATTCTAATTAAAAAAACTCCAACATAAAGATACCTTTCAAATCTATACAAATGTGCCTGTATTTACAGACCTAGATTTACAGCCAAGGATGAAAGGCATCTACTTCTCAGAAAGAACATGGCAACCGCAAAACAAAAGAGCAGCTCTAGAAAGAAGCTTAAAATGGGAAGTGGAAAGCTACAGTGGATCAGTTTAAACTCCTGGAGGATTTTGGCAGGCACATGAAGTACCTTGGAATTTTGCCAGAAGGCAAGGTCATAAACTTTCTTCTCTTGCACAAAAGACATTAAGAGTCCCTCAATTTTTTATAGCTAAGCTTCATGATGGCATCTCCAACAAAACGTTGTTTTTGTGTACAAGATAATACCAAATCTAATTAGAGGTACTGCTTGATGATTGCAAGCAATCATGTTAGCTGTTAAAATATTAATCCAAAGTATATGGAAGTTACTATTCAGGATCCAAGACTGCCTCTGACTGCTGGGTACTCCTGCACTGCCATGCTAAGTAAAATGGGTTTGTTTAAGCAATCTTTAGTGACTCATCTTTATTGAGCTTAACTCATTTCCAAAAGTAGTAAAACTGAACTGAATTAAAGCCACTTTAATTCCTAATGAGACATTAACAACACAGGGATTTAAAACAAATGTCTAAGTACTCAGTTTTAAATTTACAGATGCAGTTACAATTCTTTATTTGGTGGTTTCCCATAGCAGCCCATAGAAACATCATCCTTATTAAATGCTATTCTGCCTTGTATAAAAATGGATGAAGAAGACTTGAAGTCACAAAATGACTGTGATCATGCACTTAGAGAACCCCTCTCCTTGCCACACATTTAAAGAACCAAGAGATTCTAGGCAGAGAGTAGAGCCAAAGCCAGAGGGTATTTAACTAGTTAAGGAGAGACAAATACAAGGTCCAGCACTATTCAGGCCTTAATTGCAATGCTTATTACAGAGATATCTTAATGGCAGTCAGGTCTAGGTGAAGATCTCACTGTATGCAGAGCCTGTCAGCTTACCACAGTATTCCACAGAGCCCTGGCAAGCTGAGAATGGCCTTTCTGGCTCGGATGGAAGCAGTCAGGTGCAAAGTAGGAGATGTCTGGCTTCTTATCCTACAAATAAAAGCATAAAGGACATATTAGTGTAGAAAAATCCCCACACTTCCAATTTGGAGTTGCTGAGGCCAAATCAGAACCAGTAAAGAGAGATCCATGTTACTTGTTCTCCCTGCTCCATTGCAGAAAGGCTCCCAATTATTTGGCAATACAAACTGTACTTCAGCAGACCCATGAACTACCAGAAACATGTAGCTAGAGATGACTATGTGCCTCCATGGGCAGATCCATCCAGAAGCAGTAAGACCACAATTTTCTATTATGGGTACAGATCCTCTTCTGGTTCTGAAGTAAGGATGAGTTCCTCTCCCTGTTTCCAGTTATCATTAGAACTGGAACCACAGGCACCATTATGCTGTGCAGTACTTCTGCACAGCTGGAGTTTTGAAAGGATCAAGAAGCAAGTATTTGGTGGAAAGCAGCCAGTCTGAGCAAGCCCACCAGAGCAGTCTGCTTTCTAAACAAAACTGTACTTTAATACAGGGTTAATACAGGTACTGGAGGATGTGAAGAAAATGGAGTTTGGAAATTTCAGTATCTTGTCTGTCACATGAATACTGAGGTTAGGGTCACACATGACTGAAACAACTTTTTTTGGTCAGAGCAGCTCTTCCTCCAAACTTGAACAGGTTTTTTCAGTGTGGTGGGGCTTGCTTTTTAGAGGACTACTACCAAAATTTGCGTATTTTTTGCCATGTTTAGAGACAGAGTTTTCAGTTCAAGAACATCTGAATGTTGAGATAAGAAATTGAAAGAGCATCCTGAGCTTCTTAAAATCTGAACTAATGCTTGTGAGACTACAAAAAAAAGTTCAGAAATATTTTGCTTCTTCTGGTTTTATTTCTGTGCTCCCCACCCTCAGTACCAAAATCCTTAGAGAAGACTTCTCAGGGTCACCAGCTTCATGCACAAAAAAAAGCTTCATGCAAACAAAACAAAGGAGGCCTGTGAAACAAATTTGTCTGTAGCAGCACCTTAACTTTTCAAACTTTCACCAGCTATTGCAAACATTTTCAGAATCAGTCCAGTTCAATTATGCCAGAACAATCCCTACTCAATATTTTGCTCCATCTCCTCTTAGCTCCAGGTACCTATGAAAATAGTTTCAGCTTTAGCAAAAGTTTGAGTATTTTCCTAGATTTACAGCTTACTGGAACTTGCCATTCAAGGAACTGAGATATACATCAACATACACACATGAAGTACATAAAACTACTTTCACAATATCATAGGTAAAATTCCCTTTTTGTCAGACACAGAAAAATAAGTTATGGGCATAAAGGAGAGCAGATGCCATAGTCTTCACTGAGCAATGCAGCTATGTTGCTTTAAGAAGTGCAACTTAATAACTTGGTCTTTTATTAATCATGTTGTGTTTTCAGGAAGAAAAATATTTATGTACTTCAAAGAACATACACAAACACATCTCTTAAATCAAGTTTTGACTCATTTTCCAAAACAGCAACTGATATTGACAGAACAATACTTAAAACTAAAAACTGCTTACTATATGAAGAAATCTGCTGTACTATACCAAAAAACAGCAACTTCTCATAAGAAAAGCACAGAAAAAAGTGAAACTATTTCGAATATAGTCTCTATAGGTAAGATACCCATCCTTATCCTTTAAATGCAGAAATCACCTTTACATCATACCTGATCAAGAGGAACCTTCAGATTTTGGAGGAAAGGCTGGATGACGACTGTGAAATTTTCATGAGTGTCATATCTGCCAGACTCTATCAGACTCTGAATGCCAAGCTGCAAGACACAAAAAACCACCAGCAATACTTCAATAACATCTCTGCATCATAACTATTCTCTTTGTTTGGGTTTTCTGAAAGTGCTGGAATCAAAAGGAAGTTTTAGTTGTGAACTTAAATAGCCACAGCCATTGGCAAAAGAAGGCTGAGATGCTGCAAAGGAGCTGAGAAGGCTGGAACACAATGCTGAAACTGTTTGTCAGGGACAGGGTTTTGATGACTAAACTCCCACCAATTAACCTCTACTAGGAAACATAATTTTTCTGAAGACCTCTGCTGCTAGTTTTGGTCACATGATAGGTTTGGATAGCATCAAATGAGCTCCTGCTGAATTCCTAGTTTGGGTAAATATGTTGCTAGTCAATCAAGAGCTCACTTCTACTGGAAATAAAGTAACTGTACCACTCTAAGTAGTCATACCTGGTAAGCTTTGATGGCGTCCCTCACCATTGTTAAATTTTCTGAGTTTTCTTCTCCTGTGAGAACACAGCTACACAGATAACTGTGGGGGAGATTAGAGGGGAAAACAGGAACAGAGTTAAACATCTGATAATGCAGATACCACCCTTTGTCATGCAATGCCCTCACAACATGGATGTAACAAAGGAATCTGTACAATCACACTTTTGTGAAAACATCTTATTGTCCTTGCTATTGTAATTTCAAACTTCAATGTTATTTTCTGCCTCACATGGATGATACTACTTTAAGTAATTTTGGTTTCACACTCAGATATATCAAAGTAGTGCACACTGTGTAGATTGTTTCATTGATTTCACCTTGGCATCCAAAGGCCCTGCAGACTGACAGAGGCACACACCAGAGCCCCTGGGGAACTAAAAACAGTATTTTGAAATGTACTGCCTGTTTTACTTCTGAGCTGACACCTTTCCAATCATCAATTCCTTTTGCATTCCCAAGACAGAGAATTTGTTTCTGTCTGAAAGGTCAGTAAAGAATGCAAATTACCCATTGCACTAAAGCCTCTGAAACAGGGGAGACCTATCTACTCAAAACCTCATGTTCCTGAAAAAAAAAGCCTGCAAATCTAAATGTTTGTGCATTTCAACCCCATCTTGAAAAACCCTGTGCCAGTAACTTTAACCCTAGCCTTTGAGGTGTACATTATGTACAGTTCTAGATATGGAAAACAGGTCAAAGCCAAGAGAAGGAAATGTCATCAGGCAGGGTGATGTCAGCACTGTGTGGGAAGGAAGTCCACAGGACTGTGCTGCTACCTTTAGACATCAGTTCAAATTATGAGAGAAGCACAAAATAAGAACACAAAGAGGACAAAAGGAAGTCAAACAAGTCTTACTCTGCCAAGTAAGTGGGGCACTGATCTGAAGGGTCCACAAATAACTGTCTCAGAGCAGTGATGTCCCCCACATCAACCAGACTCACCAGAGCTTTTGGAACCTGAAAGGTAAGTCAGACTTCGGTTTAGGAGAAACTGGTTACACAGCCCACAGTGCATTTATTTTACCCCAAGTCCAGTCATTTGACACCGCTTCCCTTTCTCCACCACTGGAAGGATAAAAAATTAAAAAGATAGAAAAAACAACAAGTCCTCCACCAAATTCCCCCAACTCAGCTTTGATTTTTTTCCCCACACCATAGCTCAATATTATTATCTGTCATTTCAGACTGCATCTCACTACCGCAGATAGACAAGACAAAAGAAAATGTTTTTTTTACAAGTCAACAGCATATGTCCGGTACCAGAACGCAAAAAAAAAAAAAAAATCAAACAAACAGAAGAGCTAGCATCAGTTAGTCATGTCTCACTGTGAGCTAGAATGCTGGGGTAATTTCACAGTACTTGCCTCCTTGTGCAGAATATCAAGAGTTTCTTGAATCCTTTTGATGTAATTCCCAGCTGAGTAGTGATTCTGAGAGAAAAAGAAGAGATTACTGTCAAATGGAGACACAAGGAATTTAGGTTGGGAGGCTGGAGAATCACATTACTTCACTTCCTTTTCTGCCCTACAACACTGTGGTCAGTAGAATGTTCTTGCTTCTTTCTAGAGGCTGGGGATTTTAAACATAGCAATTAATCCAAAACACAGGGAGACTCGGTGAAATTTTGGATTTAAAATAAACCTTGTTGAGTAGCAGCATATTTAACCCAAATCCACTGGGCCCTTCATGTAAAAATGCAAGAAGGAACCCAATCTGAATGCATGCTGAGCAGGAAACCAAGCAGCCACAAGCATGCTCACAGCTAGCTGATAAGCTCTCATAAAATTATGTGAAATCATTGCCAGTCAAGGTCATAGCTATAAATAAGGCTATAAAACTTGGCAGCAGCAGCAAAGATGCCTACCAAGGCTCCTGCAGAAGAAGCACATTTCTCAAGCACAAGGGGTTGCAGGAGAATTGAAAATTCTCATAAGAAGTGAGCAGATTAAAGGCAAGAGAGTGAGAGCTGGCAGTGAAAGGTGGCCTCTCCCTGTCGCCTGCCCACTCAACTCCCATGACCTCCTTATGGCAGCCCTAAAGGCTTCTCCACAATCCAGAGAAGCATAGCATTCAAATAAGACTGAGCACTGCAGCAACTTCCCTCATATATACACCTCACCAGTTCCTAGCACCTCCCCACACTGTGAGTTATGGTGTGATGACAATTGCAGGGTTGCACTGCTTTGAACTACCGCTGTCATTCTTGGATGTCTAAAGAGGCCAAGCTAGAGCACAGCAGTTACCACATCAGAGGAGTGAGGCATCTCTTCCCTTCCATTTTTTGCTTACAGTCAAAAAACAGTAGTCAAAGCAGTGGTTCTTATCCTGGAGTAAGCCAGACAAAACAAAACCATCTTACTCTGCTGCTGGTAACTTTTTATATCAGGGTATTGCCACCAAGAACCCCTGTCAAAACATACAGCAGCCCACATATAACTCATTTTATCTCTGTGAAGGCTTTATGATTTCCCTTGAGGTGTTTCTACACTGAACCACAGTTTGGGATAACCAGTCTCACTACTCACGGGGTCTTTGCAATAGATGCACAGATCATTGGCTCCAATATGCACAGTTATGAGCTTCCAGTCAGCACTGAAGTCAATCCTCTGTGCAATAAAGAAGAAAATAACAAGTCTGAATTTCTTTACCTTTGTGATATACACATGGTGTCATTGCAGGTGGATCTGCTGTGTGAAGTAATGCCTATTTCTATTCATTCTGTAAGTTTGAAGGAGTCCCAGAAAACTTACCTGGTCAGTTTTCATAAGACTCACAAGACTTCTTGCTTGGGCTGGCAAGTGCCTGGAAAGAAGGAGAACCTAGTGAGTGAAAGTAACACCCGTATTGAGAGATCAACATTACCAGGCTTCAGACGTCTTAAATCAAGTTGACAGATATCAGAAGGGTTGAGTGAGGACAAAGTACAATACTCATGTTGCTGTGGTCAAATTACAGGTTCACATCTTGGTAATAAAGTAAACATTAAATCAAACTTGATTATATTATATTATTGGTGAATACAGATTTTACTCAAGTTCGTAGTTAATTTGGAACCATAAGTTCAGCTCCTATTGCAGTGCTTAGCACCTAAAACAGCTGAAAAGCCAGATATGGCAACAGTTGTAAGCAGAGGGCCTCTGTAGAGCTATCAATCTATTCCTTATAGACTAAAACACAGGAATCCCCAGTCCCAATACTTAGCTGACCACTTGAGCAACATGTCCCTGAAAAACAAGGTTTCAAAGCTCGCTGTACACACCCTCCTCATCTTTGTAGCCTGCACCTACGGTACGTAACTGCACACTACGTGTACACAATTTTCCAGAGTAATCAAAAATCCAAGAAGCCTTCAAGGTTACCCAGACAAATTAAGATGACAGCTGTTTTCCTACAGCCAGGTAAGCACTCTCTCTTTTTCTGTACATATATATATATTCATACACAGATAGACAATTAGGATAGATAGATAGATAGATAGATAGATAGATAGATAGATAGATAGATAGATAGATAGATATCTAAAGTGCAATGAGTTTTGAGTTACTTAGACTGGGTGCTTCAGCTTTGTTTGACTGCCCTGACAGATTGCTCTTCAAATATGCATAGGGAAGAGAAGAGAATGGGGTCAGAAAGCATTGACCTTCCAGGCAGGTCTGTGGTTCAGAATGAGTTGCATCTCCCTCCAGGCTCTTGTTAAAGACACTGGCTATCAGTTCTGGGAGCCTATCAGCTGACATTAATAAGCATGTACACTTGTTTTGTACGGCAACCAGAGTTTAGCTCCCCTTTGCAATGCTTTCCTTACTGTAGGAAAAAGAGAGGTCTCTCACCACCCTTGTCCAGCTGAAAATACTGATCTAACACTGGCACGGGAGCATCTACTGAGGAATGAGCCCTGTCATACAACTACTTGTGACACTGTGTGCACATAGTAGTTCTTATCACCATCACCTTCGTCCAATGTCATAACCTACTTATTTATATTCCAAAGCTATCACAAGCCACAAGTGGTCACAATTTCCTTCTGCTCTTACTGTGGAAACCCCTAAGCTGGGCATTGTCTGCAGTACTGACACAGAGGAAAACACCACTTATTGATCTGACAGTCCACAACATATTTGATTTCTCATTCAATCAGTGAGATGCTGATGCATCTTAAGCCAATGCAGTCAGCAAGATCCAATGACATCTTGAATGAAGTAGTGCCAGTAATGATCCATCCTTGAACTGCAATTTCAACCAAATTTAGATCTTAACCAATGGAAACAGTTTGCTAATGGGAAATACAGATATTCACAATTCCTGTCACCTGTTTTCTCCTCTCACTCTTAAATTCTTAACCTCCTCTTCCTTTCTTTTTTTTCCCACATGAAATCAGAGACCTCAGCTCTGCTTCAGCAACATTATTCAGACCTATCCTTAACTCTATCATGTACTTAAGCACTTTGGCAATGCATGCAGATAAGGCTTAGAAATATTTTGCTGTATGAAACCTGCATTACTACATTTTCATCTAGTTCAATAAAGGGCTCTTCAAAGCAGTCATGGATTTAATTTTAAGAAACCCTTACACCTGGTTTCTATAAGCTGGTAAGGCTGCAAAATTATCTGATTTCAGAAATGTCCCAAAACCTCTGGAAAGCACTTTCCTGATAACCATAAAGCAAGACACACCAGGTAACAATTCTTAAATACCAGCATTAGCTGGTGGACTTTTTTTGCCCTGTGAATCACTGGAAAATGGATGGTTTTGGCTGATGAAGAATAAATGCTGAATTGCACCATCATTCATCCAGGGTTAAATACCTAAAGCAGGAGAAACGTTTCCTTATGTTGCAATACATTTCAGTACTTGACTAGGATGAATTCATCTTCTCAGGTACAACAAGAACCAAAACATTATAGGACAGAACCCCAAAAGAAGTATTTGAGAGCTAAAAAATAGTATTTTACAGCACTTTACTTTTGCACAACTTTCTGCAGAGAGTTATGAGACAGAGAAACAACAGAAGACAAGCAGAAATCTGGCATAATTGTTGTCTGTGTCTCCTTGCTGAACATTTACAAAACATGGTTACAAAACAAAGACAGCTCAATTTCATCATGTTTATCCAGTCCAGTCACTTGCAGGGGAAGTGAGAAAACTAATTGGTATTGATGAAATAGGCAGTTTTCATTAGACTAGCATCCATCAGCTCATTTCAAAGAGCTAACAAATAGCTATTTAATAGCAATGCCTCAGTTGCTGCTAGAAGCTGCCCTAAGTCATAGTGGTGACTTGAGAGTTGTGTATCCTGCTTCAAGTCCTCCCACCAGACCAAAAAGCCTTTTTAGGATTTAGCTGATAAAGAATATGAGACAGGCACCTCTCTCATTCTTTCATGCAACAAGCAAAAGCTGGAGGTAATCTGGATATATGCTGCATACAGTATATGTTAATAAATTCTCACTGATGGCTGACTCACATTTCACTGACATACACAGTTACCTTCGGTCATCACCAAATAGAAAAATGCATTCTTTCAGTTCTGTGGGGGCTGAAGGATATAGCAGGGGACCTAGCACCCTATTTCTGTCAGGAAATCCAAGTATTTACTGAGATTACCAGAATGAGTCAGAAGTTACACAGGGCCTACAGGAGAGCAATAAAAAAAACCCTGATAAATCCTAATAATCTTTGCTTAGATACAGCAAACACAAACACCTCTCTTGGCTTCTGAACTTCACTTCCAAGACTCCTTTGGGAAGCAAGATGAATTTTTCTTTAAACAAACAAATTAAGGTCTGGGTAACAGCAACTCACAATGTCAAATCTAGGCATGGTCTGCCAGATTCTGTGCCCAAACTATGACTGAATTCAAGCAGCCATCTGTTTTGTTAATTAAACAGCACTGACTTTGAATAAGTATCCAGGGATTTCTAGGATAAGCAATATAGAAAAGCTTAACTCATGCAGCTTCCCAGGTGTGACTAAAAGCAAAGAGCCAAATTCAGGTGACTGCAAGACATTACAATCCCTATTATGCTGGCAGAACTTGCTCCAACTGTACCAGGTCTGCAATGCACCAAAACCCATGGATGACGATTAGTAATTATCTTTTCTTAAGATTCTAGACTGGCTTTTCCCCCATCTCTCTCCTGTCCTTTTCTGCTTGCTTATCCAGAAATCCATTGTGTAAGACTTCATCCTGTTTTACTCCTAGTTTCTCTTATCAATTCATTACATGTTCTATTTTAAAAACATTCACATTCTCAAAGATTTACTGACTGATAAATAGATAAATGAATAGATGTTGAACAGGAAGAGTAGAAACCTCCCAACTGTTTCTGCCAGTTTCTTGTTTGTAGATTTCATAACGAGGACTGTTAGTTTCATTTGAAAGTTCAGCTATGAAATAAACCCATACGTTTAACATGTTTTGAGCCAATTTCCACTCTAACTCAACTGGTTCTGCTTGCTCTTCTGAGCAAGTTGTGACAGCACATGAGACAGTTGAAAGGCAATTAAATGAAGCATCCATCACCTACAAATGTAAAACAAAAAGCTACATACTCAGCCAGTGCTCCAGGAACTGCCTGGTTAAGGAATGCATTGGAATAATTCTCATTCCCGATACCAGTTGAGTAGCCCGTGATCGTGACACTGAACTCCCGAAAGATGTCTGAAAAACAGAGGTGGAAATGAAGGCAAAAAGACTCCAGCTGCTCCCTGCCTGTAGGGACTAGAAGAACACACCAGCACTGCCACAGTTTTGCTCTCTGATAGCACAGCTGCTGCTGGTCAACCATGGTGGATTCACCAGCTGCAGTGACTCAGACAGCAGTGTGCTTGCCGTGCCCTGCACTGGGACCAGCAGATAATATGAGCAAAACTGGGGCCTACTGTGTGCAGTTCTCTCTCAATTTGTAGTGGTTAAAGCCTAAAACAAAATTATCAAACACACAATGTTGACTTTGTGAAGTGAGTATGAAGGGTCCTTCAGCCCAGCCGGAGCTGGTTTTCAGCTGAAGTAGCTGGATCTTCTTCACTGCCGTGCAAAATCTCATACTACTGACAAAGGTGAGGAACAAAGCCTCAGGTGCATGGTTCTGATGAAGTTACACCATGTTCTCCATAGTAGTTTCCAAAAGGAAGTTGGCAGAGTAACTTACAGCTGTGAGTGAACATGGCCACACTGTAAACTATAAAATCTACTTCAGTCTCAAAGACCGAGTTTAACCACATTTCAGCGAGGGCTTTAGCAAATGTAATAGGACTCAAGTAATCAATTAATTGCTTATTCAATTTATACTCCTGTTACATTTGGCTTAAAATAATGGCCAACACACAAAGGAACAGTTTACTAGCCTCTTTGAATGGAAGTTTATTACTACAGCTGATCCAAACTGAAAGTCGAGTGGCTCTACATTAACGATAGACTGAGCTATGTGAAGTTGCAGGTTTCAGTTAAGAGAAAATAAAAATTATTCCCTTCAGGTTACATGTATGAGTAAGGCAGCTTTATTTACCAAAGAGGCCTACTCTATGCAAATATTTCTTTTGGAAAAATTGTGATGGAATATTTATTAAAAGCAAATGTTGAGTACATCATGAGCACGGACATAGCAAGGTTATTGAGAAATTTGAATAATACTCACCAAAGTGTTGAAAAGGGAGAGGGAAAAGAAAGCAGGCAATTTCTATCTGTTCTCATCTTCACTAATGCAGGCAACTTTTTATTTTTTAATCATAGTATACTCTTTCTTTTAAATGTAGTTCTTGTTAATTACACTAAAGCAGCTTTGAGATACTTAAAAACTCTCTATAAATCTACCAGAAACTTGTCCACTGCATCTCCTCAATCTTGCCATTCATATCTAGCAAAGCATTCACTTACTAGGTAGAGTTGTCACATTCTCCAACGACTCATCTCCTCCAATACTAAAATGAGAAAGAAAAATCCCAGTCACTGACCTCTTATTTGGACACAGGCAATAAACAAAGAGAAAATTTGCTACACATCTTGGGGAACAGCAAAGGATTATTAATTTGGTAACTATCATTTTATCAGAATCCATGGAGATGACAGAAGTGGAAGTGCTGTTGGGGAGAACAGGTGAGGTTTCAGTGCTGAAGATGCTTGTCAGAAAGATTTAATGCTCTTGCAGATGTACAGGGGTACGGTCAATCATTTATCAAGTGTCAGAAAAATGCCTGACACAGACTCATACTCAAATACTTAATTCATACTTAAGTACTGCAGATTAGAAGGCCAACTTTGAGGCCCATTCCAGCCTCATGAAGCCCCTCTAAGGAAACACCAAACACAGACAGCTCTTGAGTGACAAGAGAACTTCAGCAGTAGCTGCTCACTCCTCCTGCTTTCTGCATAGGGACAGATTTCTCCAGCTTTTTGTTGACAGGACATACTAAGGCCACAGTCCAGCTTACATAGAGGTATGAATACAGCACAGATCTGCTTCAGTCAGTATCAATAGAGCTACATCACAACAGCAAAACAATTTAGTCTCTTATGACTGTGTGTTGCTATAAGTGGCAAAAGTCCTCTGGCCAAACTATTTTCCATGACACTACAAAAAGTTCAGAAATAGAAAACTTTGAGAAGAAGTCCTAAAACCAACCAGTTCTGACTTGTTTTGTAGATTTTCAACCTGACATCCCAACATAAAAATACAAACTGTTGCAGGCAGCCAAAAATGAAAGCATGAGCGAGATCAAAAATCTTGCTTAAAATCCACTACTGAAAATGCTTTCTGTAAAGCTACCCTTATGAAAAAATCTTGATACACCTTCAAGAAGTACTAGCCTGGGAAGTAACCTTTTTTCAGCTTTCTGACAGTTGAAAGACCCAAAACACATCTCTTCATCACCTTGGCTGAAGACTTACCTCCAAGACAGTCCCCGGTACTGAGTGATCACATCCTGGAGGGTATCTGAGGCAATTCCTGAACCAGCCTGGACATTGTTTTTCATTAACCAAATGAAATTAAAGCACAATTACTAATGCAATAGTACCTAGTAATACAAATACATAAGCAAATATGTAATTTACTAATTTACTAATTTAAATTTACTAATTTAAATAGAATGACATAGTTGTTTTATTTACTTTTTAATCGAGTGGATGTTTTCCAAAGTTTTAAAAGGCATCTGACTTTTCCCAAACCTTTCTCCTGAAGCATACAACAATACCTTTAATAATTATTTAAAAGCATCATATTGTATATATGACACACAAAATTTATGATGGAGCTGTAGAACAAAGAGTAGGTCTAGATGAGCAAAATTACTCTTTTAGTGTTGCATTAGTCAACAGTGAAGAAAACATCTCAATCAAACATACAAAATGGCTAATGATATGAAGCACTACATGAGCTCAGCAGAGAAAATAAGCATGTATCAGAAAGAAGCACCATAACTCATATATACCAGTTTGAAAACCATTGTGCTAAATTGAAGGATTTATAACAGAACTGGAGCAAGGAGGAAGCACTCTCCATACTGAAGAAAGAGGCAAGCTAGCAACTACACTCCTCCTGAAACACCTCCAGAATTCAGCAGCAGAGTTCCTGACAGCTGTGACTGTATAGTTTCATTCTAAATCTAGGTGCATGTTAGTACTTGAGTACAGAACTAGGCAGCCTATTTGCTGCTTCCTTCGATTAAACCAGAATACTACATTTTCTTCTGTGCATAAACTTTATTGAAATAACAGAAGATTGGTGCTCAGAATAACTATGTACAGGACAAGTGCAGTTCTAAGACAGCAATACACCACTGCATGTTCTATGAAAGATTTTATTCCCAGCTCCTACAGACTATACTTAGAAGCAGAAACACTGCAGGGCCCTAGATATTACAATACAGCAACCACAACCACGTACAGAATATATTTAGTTTATTAATACTGAAGGTTTACATCAAAATGCTTCTGTTTATTTCAGTAGCCTCCTGTGTGTGGGAGCTGTAGCACCAAGTCTGCCAGAGAGTTGTAAAGGGCTCACAGTTTGTACACACAATGTGTTTGTTGTTAAGGCTCAGATTCTGAGAAACCTATGATCCAGTTACATCTTTGTGTCCAATGTTTCCTTTGACTGGCTGTAGAATTTCAATCTTTGACCAGTATGAAAACATAAGGCAGAAAGGCATAACTGGAATATAGGATGTCTGGATTTTGAAACATATTCTTTCTTGACTACCAAAGATAATGATCAGCAGCAAGAACTGTATCGTGATCAAGAAATCAGCTAAGAGTTAAAACAGGCACAATAAAATGACTGAATATCTTCTGAAGTGCATTGAGTCAGAGGGCTCTCACTCCATATTTCCTTATCTCATTAATGCTAAAATTATTAAAATGCTATTATCCAAAACCACTTAGCTGCATTCAGTTCCTGAAAGAACTGAGGCTGAAAAACAGGCTCATTAGTCCATTCCTATGCAGAAACAAAAATTTTAAAATGCACCTAACTTTAAAAAGATTAAGGTTAAGGTTACTTTAAAAAATAACCTAAGCCTTGTACTAGGTCTCACTCATTTCAACAACATCTAATCTCTTCTACTTCTTGTCCAGCAAACTACCTAGGCACCTCTTTAAAGGATTTGCCTGTGTTTTTGCAGGAGTTCAAAAGCATGTGAATACATGTGTGGGGGGAATGGAGCGTTGGAAGACTGACACCTTCTTTCTGAATCTAGCTGCTAGATCTATTATAATCCATGAATGAACAGATCTCTGCTTCTGGGTACAATAGCTATTTCCCCTCCACTAGAGCAGGCACATGTTTGCAGTTGTACCAGGAGTAAAACCACCATCTTCTTACCGTCAAAGAATCCCCAAGGGCTGCTACAACTTTCACATCAGCTGGCTTTAAGGAATGCACTGCAATGGAAAGAGATACAGTCGAACCTGGTTAGGAAATAGCTATTTTTTTTCCTCTACTGTGTATGTGAAATACGCCATTGTCATTGTGATACTCTGTCACATTGTTTTTTGCAACACCCAAGTGATAAATCAGAAGTTCTTTCCAGCTCATCTCCTGTGATGGTAGCGCCAACATATGCATATTATTCAGTATTTCAATGGTTAATGTCGCTACCGAAAAGGCAGGAGAGCAAGGAGCAAAAAACAATAAGTGGCAAAAAATATCCAGCACCAAAGTGAAGGTAAAACAATGCAGAATTACACAAAGCAGGAACAGCACATTAAAGACTTCAAAAGACAATGTAAAGTTATTTGAAAAACTGAATACTGCTAAATTCCAGACTAACATGAATGAAGCTGTATTTCCAGTTTCTTTCCACGACATTTAGGTGGAATAGCTTATAAGCTATGTCAGCACACAAATCTGGATTTCATCACAAGTTATTTTGAAGTTCTCCACCGGCAGTGAGTTCAGTGAAGCTACTTAGTCAGGATGCTACCTTGAGTGACAGTGTGGCATTGTATCTGTTAAACATCTGCTGAAAAACATGACATCCTTTCTGAGCAATGTTTTTCACAGCCCAGCAACCATTTCAGCAAAAAATTAACATTCATCTTGAAGGACAGCTGAAGGTAATTTAACATGACATCCTTTCTGAGCAATGTTTTTCACAGCCCAGCAACCATTTCAGCAAAATTAACATTCATCTTGGAGGACAGCTGAAGGTAATTCAACTTCTTAACATAAAGTAGGCAAGACTACCTGAAGTTGCAGGAGGGGAGGATGGAGACCTGTCCTCACATGGCAGCTGGCTTCCATAATTCTAAAGAGAAAAAGAAAGCTGAAGAGCATTTGGCTAGCAAATACAGTCAGTAGAAACTAGGATCTTCCCAGCAGAGGCCAGGTGGATAAACCGGAGCCTCTTCAGCATGTAATTAACAGACAGGTCTTGGTTGCTCAATTCAATAGTAACATTAAGTATTGCTCAGAAGAGTGTAGTGTCCTGTACTGATAACAGTGCTGTCTGAGCACGTGTTCTTACAGGTGTTTTTTGATGCATTTTGTCTAACTCAAGGAGTACCTCCCTACCTGTGCCATGCACTCAGCCTCCCAAGCCCCTCTGGCCAAAGACTGATTTCCCCTGTGCTGCAGAACATAACTCATTTGGTTACCATACAGGAACAGATGCAGCAGAGTAACAGTGGGATGGTGATGTTGACACTTACTGGAGTTTGGTTAGGGTATGTGTAATTACTGTTCTTATATGTCCTCAGGAATGGCTCAGCCTACAAAACAAGGCAATCTGAATTAATGCAAAGCAACAGAGGAACACATGGAGATTTCCATTCCCCAAACTTTGGTTCTCAGATGTCTGTAGATGATTAGCAGCTTGATGCAAATAAAACACAGGGATTAAAAATAACTAAATAAATAAATAAAAGGCCTTTTTAAAACCTGTGTAGCAACAGTGTAAATCTGGGTTATATTTTTTAGAGAATTCCCTCAGGACCCTGCTGTGTGTGGCTTACAAGAAGCTTGTGGCCCCACTGCAAGTTACTCCCAGTGAACTCTGCAGAGCTATCCTGACTGGTACCATCACTGCTCTGTTTCCCCCCACTGAAGCTCTGTCATTCAGTGTGGATACTTGACGATCTTGGTTAGGTAGGCCAAACACCCTTCCCTTCTGTTTTGGCTGCCAGTGATGTGTGACTGTGAGGAAGTTGACTCTGCTTGCCCTCCATCCTCTCCTGGGTGAGTGCTTATGCTGTTCTTGGTGGCAGTGGCACAAACTGTGTGGGGAGGAGCAGATCACCCTCAGAGAGCCAGAGCTCCAGGCACTGCATAAAGGCTCCTACAGAGCCCCAGCCACTCCCAGCACCTCCACATAAACACAGACACCCTTGTAACTTACCTCAGATGGACATTTGAGGACAAGCTCATCATCCATCTTCTGACTATCTGTCTTCTCCCCTACAGGCTCCAGCTGGGGGGAAAAGGGGATGTGCAGAGGAAAAGCAGATGAGTACCAGACAGCAATGGGTGATGCTGTGCTGCCAGTCATTGGAAACCACCTCTGCAGCACAGCAAGACAACTTCAGGGCACTGCACCAGTGCTGGCAGCTGCCCCCCTGCACTGTTTTTGTGTGTGCTGAAGAGGCTAATTCCCATACACCTGGAATGTGGCCTGCTGGTCAATGTGCCGGCAGGTGTCATCTTCCTGAGACACAGCCTGAACACACCCAGCTTTAACACACCCCGAGATTTACTGGTTTGATATGACTGGGCTAACAATTCAGGTGACCTTTCTTCATATGAGCACTCTTTCCCTTTGTAACACAATTCAGAAGAGATATGGCTGCCTAGTAGATCTTGGGGGGCGGGGGGTTTGCTGCCAAGGGCAGGATGAAGTGAACAAGGAGAGAGCAACACAACCTTTACAAATCTTACCATGTTGTTCCACAAAGCACGTGCAGCCTGGGAATGAGCCTTTTGGCTGAAGTGGAAACAATCTGGGGCAAAATATGATTCATCTGGCCACCCCTCCTAGAAAACAAGATAGGTGCTGTCACTGAGACAGCAAATAAGCAACGAGCTGTGTATTCTGTCTTCTCTTTTCCAGTGAGATAACCCAGCAGACTTCTAAACAAAGTATTGCAAAGGCCTCTCAGGCAAACAGAATTAAACCAGGCCAGGGAAAGTTAGTAACTCAGAACTAAGAAGCCTTTTAAAACTCTTTAATACACTATTCCCAAAGTAATAAGGAATACAAACCACTATGACTCTGAGTACAGAATACCTGGGCAGAGATATCAATTTCTTTATTTCCCCTGAGATTTACATATTGCAGTCCTTTGAAACATATGGGTTTTCATACTAAAGGTCATTTACCAAAGTACTGTAAAGGACTTGATGTATAGGGAATGTAAAGCAAGTGCTTCCTGATGAAGATTTTGACCTAAAATATCTACTTCATGGCTGTCCAATTGCAGTGCCCCAAATCAAGGGGCACTTGATTCCTGTATTCCTGTTGCCCAGTATCTCATATTCAGTAAAAACATTTCATGCAATTTTGGATGGTTACTGAATATAATAATTAATTACTATGTCAGGAAACTGCTAGCTACATTTACAGCTGAAACAATTTTGACAAGTCAGTGGCATTTCACCAGGATTTAATGTAGGTGTGGTTTTCTTGTTAGTTTTACCTGTGTTTTTGGCATTTCTATATTAGTCATAAATGGCTGCATAACCACTGTGAAATCATCCTTCGTGTCATACCTTCCACTCTCCACCAACTGGCGGGTTCTCTCCTAAAGAGTCAAAGAAAAGTTGTCATTGTTCCTTCTTCTACGTTCAGCTCATCAAGCTGAACACCTCACCCAGGGGTTGCCCCTCCCTCATGCAGAAGGTTTTCAGCTTGTGCCAGGCAGCCAATGCAGCTGCCTTTTTGAGACACCCATCCCGGGCTCCTTTGCAGAGAGGCAGCCTGGGGATGGCTGCCTGACTGACAAGGACTGCCAGCCTGCTCAGGAATTAGGTTTTCTGTCAAAAATATGTCCTTCCAGAACATCTTCCATCAAAGCGTTTCTGGTTTGGCTGACACACTGTGCCTGAAAACTTGTTCCTGAGTTGACATGTTGTTTGACTTAGCCTGATTTTCAATAACATACTGATCAAAAAACTGCTGACTCTCTGACATACTCTACTTTCTATGGCTCTGTGACAATTATTCTTCTCATCTGTTTTGTTGATTTAGTGAAACAGAATTGTAAAGATCCTACTTTTTTTTTTAACCACAACTACAAATACGTCATTAGAATGAATGGAAACTGTCCCCTGTTTTCAAATTAGCCCATCTGTGGTCCCTTGATCAGCAGAAGGATAACATCAAACTCCTAACAAATGCAATGTGCCTTACCTGATACCTTCTGTTAAAATAGATCAACTCCTTTAACTCATTGGAATCGTTCTTAGGGTTTATGACACAAGGGCACAGGATCCTGTGGGATAAGAGCATGGCACTGAGATTTGCTCTTCCTTTTCCCCCCTTGCTTCCAAGCTGATAAGCTGCAGGATTAAAAGCTCTGAGAGGAATTTATTTGAAAGACCATTGAATGAGAGCATTATGTCTCACCCCTGAGTTTCTTCATAGCCCTAATTCTTGAGCAGAAACACATTTATTAAGGATAAATTAATGAACAAAAAGTGAGCAAAAGCTTCCATGCAACCAAAACCACACTGTGTGCCCATGGCAAGGTTTTAGCAGCAGGAGTGATCTCTGTGAGGAGGGGCCAGAGCTGCCTGTTCTGGACAGTGCTCCAGCAAACCAACCACAGGGTATGGCTGAGCCTCTCAGCCAGGCTGGTGGTGTCTGTGAAAACCTACCTAAGAACAGGCAGAAGAGAGCTGCCTGTTCTGGACAGTGCTCCAGCAAACCAACCACAGGGTATGGCTGATGGTGTCTGTGAAAACCTACCTAAGAACGGGCAGAAAACACCAGAGAGAGAGAGGAGAGAACAAGGCAGGAACAAGGAAGAGGTGTTCCATGGCAGAACAGGCATTCCTGGAAAGGACCACAGTCTGTGGATGCACACGAGTGTAGGACTCATGCTGGAGCACAGGACAAGAATGAGCAGGAAGGAGTGGCAGAGAGATACCAGATCCAGAACCCAAGCCATGCCTCACTGAAGGGGCTGAGGGTACCCTGTGACAGTAACAAGGGTGGGGGGGAGATGCTTGGAGAAAAGTTGAACCTGAGAAGGAGGGAGGACAGGTGCTTTAACTGTTCAACTTCTTTCTTTGTTCATTTTCCATACCAGAATCAGAAATAAATGTTTATGCTCATGGACAACAAATACAGTTACATTCCCCCAATCAAAGGTCTGTTTTGCCTGCAATGATACTTGCTAGGTGACTTCCCAGTCTTTATCTTGACCCATGAATTTTCTTGCTCACAGTCCTTGTTTTCTCCCCATTGCTGGGGTAGGGTGAATGAGGAGCTGTGGGAGTTCTTGGCTGGCATCTGGGGCCAACCCACCCCAAAAAACTGTTGACAAGTACACTTGTGCAACATGCTTTGCTTCAGCAGAACTGTGCAAGCATCCTCCAAGATGGAGTTGCCACAAATTCCTTCTAGTCAGCTCAGAGAGTCAGAGGTTACAGTGCATATCACAGCAAGGCTCGTATAGCACCAAAACAATCACCAGGACTGATGCAGAATTCTCCATCCTTAGGGAGTCATTATAACCTGAGACATTTTAAGATTCTGTGAACTCATGTTGGCCACTTTTATCCCTCCCCTGAGGTTCTGATCTTTCTAGCACATGGATATTTTTGGGATGTTCCATCTTCCTGGGCATGCCCCATCACTATTTCAGAAATCCAAATTAGAAGGACTCCTTTCAAATATCCTGACAGTGTAACCACAGCAAAGCATCCCTGAGAGAGCTCTTAGAGAAATACCTCCTATAGAGATGCAGTTGATATATGTGAAATATACACAGATCCCTACTGTGTCCAAACTTGTCTTAATGGAGACCAACTAAGAAAAGCTTTTACTTCCACAGTACATCTATATGAGAACAATACAAATTTAAATTATGTTTCCAGAAGTTTCAGAAACATATGTTAGGCAACATTAGTAGACACATCTTCTCTTTAAGTTGTTTGCTACTCTCAGAATAAAAAGAGAAGTCTTTCAAGATCAAAATCCTCCTTCAGGTGGTTCTTCTACTCAGTAGAATGGCATTTATTGTCCCACATGGGCACTGCTTATCACCCTGTATACTTGGCTTGTTGCCAGACAGGCAAACATTAAACTCAGCATGGCACCTTAAATTATGTGGAAAGCTACTATGTCACAGCTACTGTGAGACAATCTAATCTTAAAGGCTTTGCTAACTATCCTTGTCCAATGATTAGGGCCTTGAGATACCTGTGTACACTAGCCAGTAACCTTTGTAAAAATAAATAAATAAAAATTTTAAAAGAACTACTACTGGCTATTGGGAGTACCAGCACCCTGAGTTTCAAAACCAATTTTCCACTGACAGCCACAGGGAAATCACAGTAAGAGGGTTGCATCTCTGTCTCTCCTGTAAAACCAGTGGCTGCCTACATTCACAGGACAAAGTTATTCTCCCCATCTGTCCAGCAAGACAGAGACTTGCTTTTCTGAAAGAAAGCAACTCCTGCCAGAAGCAACTCCAGGGGACAATGCTGTATCCTATCTGAATCACCATAAGTCCACTCAGGGTGCAGCCTGCCACCTCAGTAGTGGACTAACACTGATCTGGAAAGGATTGTTGAGGCATAAAGCAGGTGGCACAATGAAGCATCCAAAACATCTACTTGACACTAATTTGAGATAAAACTAATAATCAGCAATGAGATTACAGAGACTGAAAATTGCAGAAGCAAGAGGGAGAGTTTTAAGTGCAGAAAAATAGATCTGTAAATACAACCAGAAAACCTCGTGTCTTAGTGTCTTCTCTATTTTCACTAAAGAATGCCCAGCTGAGCTTTCTCTGCTCTGGCTTAAAGTCACTTGCAGGGTAAGTGTGGAGTCAAAAGTGGCACCTTCATAAGAAGCAATAACAGCAGGGCTCAGATACAGAGGCAGAGACAGCTTCTCCTAAATGCTGTGTTGAACCAAAATGTAGGGACATGCACAGAGAAAGATTTTTGGTAGTCTGAAATACTAGATCCTTTTCCCTTTAAGAAAAAACTTCCCACAAAGACGTTGCAGCCTCTGTGAACAACAATGAGAGCTGTAACATAAATCATCTGCAAACCTCATAAGCAGTTTTGGGCAGTTATTGTTTTTCGATTGATGCAGCTCCCGCAGCCTCACTATGTAAAGCATCGTCACCAGGTTCACATATGCCCGTGGAACCTGCCAAGAGAACACACTAATCCTTAGCAAACTCCTGGAGCACAGAGGGCTGGTTTTGTCCCTGCACAGCCACAGCCGACCCTGGTAGCAGCCTGCTGATTCAAGCATTGTGTATTATTTATAACAGAGGTGTTCAAAGTACTTTCTCAATAATTAATTCCCCACACAAGCAATACTAAATTACAGCCCCTGCCTGCACTGCCTAGTTCTGTTCTAAATGTTGATAGCTGGTCACTTCAAAATGATGGCTTCAAAAAGGTCCAAACAAGTTGTTATAGGTCTCAACAAGACCCAAACATCTGCTAACTCTTCAAGTATTCTCATCATTCTTCATGTTGAATATCAGAATCTCTCTCTTAATGAGCACAAAAATATACTTATTCACAGTTTAAAGAACAACCAACGCATTTTCCAGTCAGTAAATAATGTTTGTTCCACATTGCTATAATGTTTTTGATATTATTTGCCCACAGCACATCAGCTAGAACTAAGAACATCCTTATTCCTTTGGTAAAAAGCTTCACCAGCCCTTTTTGCCTTTCACAAAGATTTTCCTGTGAGCAAACACCTCTGGATACAGTAGTACTCTGCAGATGAAAGCAAGGAAATAAATCCTTAATCAATAATCAGTGACTGCTTTGAAAACAGAACAAAATCTCTGCTCCCACATACTAGAAAAGTTTGCTTTACCTCTTTGTGAAGTATGTCCAAAGCTATTTGTATATTGTAGGTGTAGTTTTCAGGAGAATAGTGCACCTGTTAAAACAAGATGGTTGAATTTTGTTATTAATTTACTCAGGCAGGGACAAGAATGACTAGCTGGAGTCTCTCACAGTAGTGTTTATGTTTCTAACTCTTGGGTCAAAGGTAACAGAATCATAGGCAAAATGGTCCTGTCTCTGATTTTCTTCCTTCCATCACAGCTATCTCACTGGCAAGAAAAGATCCAGCAGCCATTGGATACCAGTAAGGGTGAAAATTCACAGGGTATTATCAGACATCACAACATCCTCAATTCCTAGGCTTGCTTGGGCTGGTCTTAAAAGCACAACTAACAACTCATTAAGAAGGGTCAGATATGGGGGAGAACAGTTTGTGTAAAAGTAAGTTTATTTCTGCTGTATGGAATATTAGAACATGCCTCCCATGTGCTCCTTGCCTGCCACAAATAATAACTGGCAAAACTTACGTGTTTAGCTGGGAATGAAATCACTTCATATACTTGTCTTTCAGTGCTAATGTTTCCTTGTTCCATTTTAATGCTTTAAACACTCTAATTTTATTGTCTCAAGTAATCCAATACTTATTTTTTCATTTGTAGGACTACAACAGTCACATAAACTTTCTTACGAGAAATGCCTGTCATATTTTCAGCCTTTTTTCTCTCTCATTTAATATCATGCAGAAGATGACTGAGAGCCCCACTCGCCTACTCTATAGAAGCAGACAGCTCAGATCCCTTATTCATTTCCTAAGACACAGCTCACCAGGAATGCTGTGGTTGGCACTATTTGTACTTGTGCCACACAAAGACGACTGTGATCTTGGATGCACACACTCTCCTTGCCACTCACCCCTGTCATGTGAACAGGCACTTTGTGTTTGGGTTGACAGCAGAAGGTAGGAATGGTTAATTTGCTCCTTCCTTGATTTATAACCATCTTACTGTGCTGCTTTGCTGTTCTTCCTGATCCAAAATTAATCATGAAGGATGACATGCACGTGCTTAACTGCCTGTGAGTAGGTAACCCTCATCACTAAGTGAGGAGTCTGCCACAGCCTCTCACCTCCTCTACAATCATACATACCAAAGGCTAGATACTGTATGCATGTTATACATACATAATATATACTACATTACATATAATTGAATTAGCATGAGCTAGTGCTTAGAACTTTTCCCACAACACTGAAAGTATTGAGAGTACCACGTAAGACTAAGGGATGGGACAATGCAAAGAGGAGTAAAAACACTTGGCATTTTATCTACAGGAGGTAAAGGGACCGTGCAACAAAATGTTATCCTAGCTGGCAGCAAAACAAAGTCGCAACAATTATGTAATTTACAGGTGTTCTAAAGGTATCCTAACATTATTGAAACATTATGCTGAGCAACCAGAAGGTCTCAGTGCAGTTAAATTCCAGAGCTGCACAATTAAGATCTATGTTATTTTGGTCTCACCCACCGAGTTCCTCCCTCTTACCCCCTGCAGTGCATAAAGGCCCTGTGGATTGACTGGCCCAGTTCATGCTGCAGGGAACTTACTGGATTCTCACAGACTTTGCAGAGGTCATTTCCTCCTATGAAAAGTGTTATGAGCTTCCAGTCATTCTGGAAATCTATTCTCTGCACAGAGAAGGAGATGGAATAGAAGTTTTTAATTAAAAAAAAGAAAAGGAGGGAGATACCAGCAACATACTAAATACAAATTTCCCATTTCTCAGAGTACATGGCTATCATTCCCTAGGCATCCACAACAAAACCAAGTTTGTAGTCATGACTGAAGATGCAGAAACTGCTGTGATCTAAACCAGAATTACAATACCAATGGCATCATGGAAAACTATTTGCTTCAGAAAAATATTGCTCAAAATCTATCTGTATGCTTTTCTTAGTAATATCTTGTGCATACAGAGTGACTCTTCTGCAGTCCTTGAAATACATCTTCATAGCAAAAATTATGGTATGTGTTTTACTGTGTGATAAATAACACAGCTATCCTGCTGGTAAACCCTGGGGGACAATATATTTCAGACTTGCTGTGAGACAAACTGCAAAGAACAGTGGGGCAATATTAACTCTATCTAACAATAATGGTAAAATATTGCAGCACTTTTTGTTTCTGCAAGGATTTTGCAAAAGGATAGCTAGCTAAATCGAGGTCATTATGCTACAGTAAATAAATACCTTCCTAGCTTTGAGCAAAGATTCAGATATGCTTAGTAGCATGTTGTGGATGTTGTATTCAATATTCTAATGCTTTAATTTCAGTGCAAAACACAAGCAAGAAAAGCACCAATTGTGCATCAACCTCCAGTGATTTAAAAACATCTTTCTTCAAAGGCTGGAGGCAATATATCCCCACTAGTAAACACACTGTTCAGTAGTTTGGTCTCAAAATGTAAAACAATCAAAAAAGAAGAAGAAACTTCCTCCTGCACTCAACAAGTGCTTTAAAAAGTGGGGGTAAAAATGACCTCTTAAATCAGAGATATATGACCTCTACTATGAGGTCATATATCTACTACTGCATGCTTTCTATTCAGAAGGAACTTCACGAGTTGTATAAAAACATTTATTACCTAAATAAAAGATATTTCCATAAATTTCTGTTAACATTCTCAGGCCAATAAATTTGGCAGAGTAGGGCTTAGAAAATTTAAATGAAAACCATACAACCATTCATTGTTAGTTGCTGCTCCTTATCTCATTTCAGATGCATCCATCAGATGGAAATCTTGTTTACAAGACAAGGAATCGAGAAGGAAGGTACTGCAAATATTTTTGCCAATATGTACACACCAGAGTATTTACACTAAACATGCACACAGATAACTTGAAGGCTTTTTGGCTGCTTTCCAGCTGAATCATTGGAAAACCAAACCATTATAGTGCAACTTAGGTCACTGATTGCATAGCATATTTGTCAAATTACAAATAGCAAACATTCAAAGCACGAGCTGAGGTGAGAAATATGTAAGCAATCCTCAACCTAACGTATATTTTACAGACCATTAATCAAATAATTCATAACAATAAATGTCTAAGTCAAAAAACAGCTGATGACTAGATGAAAGAAGGGACTAATTAATTTTTTTAGAAAACAAGTCCCTTCCTCACTTCACATGTTCACTCCATACAACTTGCTACTTGAAAAGCTTGCCCTCAACATCCTAGCATGTATCATTTTTGCTGGAAAAACTACCTGCTTACAAGACAATTAATAGCACCGCAGCAAAATCCTCACAGAGAAAGGATTCTATTATCTTACAGAGTGACACAGGTTGGAAGCAGAAGCAACAGTACTGCATTTACAGCCACTTGCACTAAAAATGATGAAAAGGTTACAATTACCTGGGTTTGATAGCAGCTATCATATGCTGGTACAAATTCATTTAAGATTAAGCTATAGATTATTTTGTACTGAACTCACACTTTGTACTGGGAAGTTTTATGCTGTACCCTGCTGTACCTACAACTTTAAAGTTTGGCATTCACTCTTGAGATCTGCTCTTGGTCTGTTAGAAACTAATGATGCTCTGTCACTTCATTCTAAAGATATTAATGACATGTTGAACTCACAGTGTCATTCTTCATGCGGTCCACCAGTTTCCTAACCTGTTGAGGAACATCCCTAAAAATAAAAGAAAAATAAAACCATAAAATACATTAATAAAAATTTAAAGAAAGAATCCTGCATAGATGACAAAGCAAAGAGGAAAGCTGACATGAATGGACATCAAGAACCAAAAAACCCCAAGCAATATCCAATTTTCATTGAATGGAATATATGATATAGCCAACAAAGGCTATGTTTTGAGACAGTGATGGAAAAAGAAAAAAGACAAAATAATTAGCATCCAACAGGCATTGGGCTACTTTGCAAATAGTTTATCTTTTACCAACTACAAAATGCACTTTTCCCACCATCAGACAGATGATATCAATAGACATATCTCTGAAGTGTCTGTGCTCACACCAATGTTATTATACAGCTTCAAGGCACTGAAGTAGGTCTTATAAGAACAGCTGCCAGTGGACAAAAAATAGGATATGAATTGCACTGAAGAGGGTGCATAGTGATCTCTAGCTAATTCCCAGCTCTGGCAGACCAGGAATTAAACAACCCACAACTTTCTCAGTCTCTATACAAACTCTTGGCCCTGATGACAAGAGAGTTTGAATATATCTCCTAAAAAGTAGAGATATCTTTTGTCTGATTCACAACAGGACAGCTTTCTGAGTGGTGCCTGTAAAATGCTGTGGCTTTCTTGGCTGAAAATGTCAGAGAAAGTATTGCTTTTGTTGCTAATTTATTTGCAGTGTTTCTAATCCTTGTCAAAGTCCTCATCACATTTCTTTGCCTTCATGCTACAGTTAGGATAAAAAATATTTACCTATTAGACTTACTGTGCTCCTGCCAAAATCCAGGGTTTGGGCAGAAGCACACTAAGTCTAATAGGCAAATATTTTTTATTCACAAGGAATTTTATAGAAAAAAAATCAAATTCCTATTAAAATGAAATGTTTTCCTCTTACTCTGCACGAGCTCCAGCCACAGCTTGGTTTAATGAAGCATTGTGTGAATTCTGTGTTCCAGTGCCAATGGAATACCCTACCAAGAATGGGTTGAACTCACGAAGAATATCTGCAGAAAGAGACAGCACCCTGAAATATTGTTTCCTGCAGCAGGTAACAAATGAGGTAACAAATAAAGGTTAGACTTTAGTAAAGACCATTAAAACTTTAGGAGAGAGCTATTAAAGGTTGATTTTTTTTTAATTAAGTATAATAAACATGGAGATTCATCACCATACAGCCATTTCCCTGCCCTCAAAATTTCTGAATTTCATGAATTCAGATAGGTCATGACCTAACACAACCATCTTGGCTAGCAATGCCTTTTTGCCTGGTAAGCAAGGCTGGGTAATCATATACTCAGGCAGGAGAATCTCATGCCATCATGCTCTAACTGCAGACAGGTTGGGATCAAATCCTTTAGCCTGATGGCCCCAGATGTATTAACCCCAAAGACCCCAGATTCCCTTCTACATCTTAGGTTACAAACCAGCCTTACAAACACCTCAGATCTAAAATGTCCTGACCTTTAAAAAGCATGTAAAATCTGATCTTGTAATGTGATTCTGTCCCTGCCTAAAACAACTTTCCCATATAGTCAAAATAGTTTCTTTAGGCTATGAGCTAAGACCTTTGATTAATCTGTGACCAAACACATTTTAGACAGAACTATAACCAACAGAAAATACTGAAAAAACCAAAACCTAGGAATTACAAACCACATAGTTAAGTCATGCACAGCATATTACAGCCTGGTTGTTAAGCAACTTTTACTCAGCAGTGGATATTAAACACAAAGGGATTGCTTGTGTCACACTACAAATTTTAACCCTTTTCTTCTGTCTCCTTTTATAATAGCAGGCACCACATATTTATCAAATATACATAAAAAGACACTTACTTGGTAGTGTCGTAACTGTGCTTATGTTTTCATTTCCTCCAACACTGTTAAGAAGAAAGAACAGAAAAAAAGTGTTGGTAAGGTACGCTGGACTCGGAAGGCAATGGACAAGGTAGGAGAGTGCCCCCTTTTGGGGTTACTGCACAGGCACAGAGCACGCTGCTGGCTGTGCTGAGCCCAGCCACACTCTGGGTGCCTGTCCCAGGGGGTCACCACATCACAGACACTCGGCTCCAGCAGAACAATCATATTAGAAGCCCTGTACAGTAGCTGTCCTTTCAGGTCCTTCACGTGTTTTGGCATATGTTTAAACCCAGCTGAGAGAAATGAGATTTTTTTTCAAGGCTGCCACATTTGCTACAGTTGTATCTATTAAAATACTTATAGCTTCCATTTTTAGTTAACAAATCTAACCAAAACAGAAAGTTCTAAAAGCATATATTTCAGAGTGATAAGTAAAATCAATACCTTTACCTTCCTCACACTCACATTTCACTCAACTGGAAGAATACTACTAGACTGGTGAAATTCACCATTATGTCTGTGTGCTCTTTATTCTCCTTCATGCTGAAAAAAATACTAGCATACTTGTTGCAAAAAAATCTCAATGGATTACTATTAAAGATCAAAATATAAAATGTGTTGACTTAGAACACTTCCATAGCGTCTCTTTAATCTGGAACAGATTTGAAGTGCAAATGGAGGTGCTTGAGGCCAAGCTGCATGGTGCCACCCTGGGCTAGTGAGTGAACACCCTGATCTAGTGAAAAGTGTCCCTGCCCATGGCATGGGGGTTGGAACCAGATAATCTTTAAGATACCTTCTAACCCAGGCCATCCTATGATTCTATGAAGGTGTTTAAGCTTCTTCTAAAGTTGCAGTGACTTAGACTGGTAAAAAATTATTAACAGAAGATCAGTCCGACAAGTTGTGTTAAATCATACAGTTGCAGATTCACAAGTGAGCATGGCTGCCTTTCTCCACAGTCTTTTTGATGTGTCTAACAACATTCTGCATATGTAAAAGTCCATACTGACACATAATTGATAAACTGTTCTTCATGATGAAGCAATACTAGGAAAGGATCAAGGAAAGAGATACTGCATATGAAATAACAGTAGAAAATATTTTTTGTAGACTACCAGTTTTAAATGAGACAAATGGGTGATGTGGGCCACACTGGACAAGAGCAGACAGGGTACAGAAAGAGCAGGGACAGAAATGCAGACAGGGCAAGTGATGCAATGGCAATGGAGTTTAGAAGACCCTGTTCCAGGGTCTTCTACAACCGTGAGATTGAAAAAGGACTTCTTAACAAGGACCCCATTTTTCTGTGTACCCAGGTCTGTTCCAGCCATGCTACATTGTACTCTAGATTACCACTAGTTGGAGTATTTTCTTTATCATGAGTAATAGTCCAGCCATGTGCTGTCATGCAAAATGATCCAGTTTCCACAAGCCTTCATTTGCTACAAAAAACAACTATATTGATCAAAACTGAAGAAAATGGATTCCCTCCCACTGAGGGGAAAATTTCTGGGACTCACCTCCATGAAAGACCTCGGTACTGAGTCAGGACATCCAGAACATCATGGGGTCTGGATCCTGCCCCATTAGCTGCCTGAAGGAAGAAGAGTTCACCTTCAGAAAATAAGCATTGCTACAGTAACTAGTTCTCTGACTGATCCTAGTGAGAATAATTTAAAAGCATATTAATGAAGCAAGCTATGTCGTCTTCCCAAAATAGAACAGATTCCTGTTCTCAAGAAGTTCAAAGGCTGAAGGTATTTTAACTCCACTCCAGTGAATTACTCTCTTCTATCAACTTCATGATTAGACCAAGTGGGGGAAAATTACTTGAGAATGTTCAAAATATTCATATAACTCTAAATTTACATAAGGAATAAATATGACAGCAGTGGTTCTGAATTAATAATTTATTATAATGTTGCTCACATTAAAAAGTTGTACAGTGATTTTATGTCTTTCCCAGTTCCTCCAAGGAAAAAAGACTACAAGGATTTAATGTGATAATTAGCACAGAACATGTAGGAAACATGAATTATTATATGAGCAGTAAAGCAGTCACCACTGATGGGAGAATCACAACCAGTCTAGAGGTAATGAACTTACATAGTACAAGGAATAGTGTTAAAATAAAAAAAAATCTCAAGGCAAGGTCCACTTGACACACCTGATGTTCTATTGCAATTTTAATAATATATTTAGTTAGTATTAATCACTATGGCTTTATAGGCTTTGGTATTATCATATATATATTGTTCATATTATATAGATATACACAATCAAACAGATACAGAACTTTTTGTTCTTCAAGCTGCTCACTAATAGCTTTCAGGGCCAATACCTTGAGAGCTGCCAAAAATTGAAAGAAATTGTAAAGAAAAGCAATTGTTGCAAGTCCTTTCCTGCAGAATAGTTTTGCTGCTACACAATCTAATCATATACTTCTTCCTTGTGTGGCACTCTTGTGGACTTCAAATGGGAACTTTGCACTCAGATTAGACTCATGATCTGATTATCAATCAGCCAAGGCGGAGTATGGAAAAAAATGTGAAAAACGTGTTTAGCTCAATGCAGCATAAGTGAATGTATACAATTTCCCAGGTTAAAAAATCAGAAATTTCATTGCAAGTGTTTCATTGCTAACTTTATCAATGGCTATCTAGTGATCTTTACTTACTGTGAGTGAATCTCCCACGGCAGCAATCACCCGAATATCTGCTGGTTTCAAATTATGAACTAAAAAAAAAAAACCAAAACCAAAGGTAGTGTAAGGCAAAGAACAAAAGAAAACTACAAATTGTGATGGTTACTAAAAGTTTTTCTCAGAATAAACATAATAAATCATTGTAAAAAGACAGTATTTTTAATATTCATGAGAGCATCAGTTGAAAATGATGGAGACTGATAGGCATCAAATCACAAATTTTTCTTGGTACGATAGCTGGGCAGTAGGTACAGTGACAAAGGAGGCAGCAAGATTCCAGTCTTGCATTTGTTCTTCCTCAAATTTAATTTAACTGATGAAAATTACTGAAAAGCAGGCACAGCTCTGGGGTCAGCAGAGATTCTGAGGAATGACAAAACCCACCCAAGGAACTCCATATGGGTTTTTGCACCTCAGACTGCATTAACAAGAACCCCCTACAGTTTTTTTCCCCTGGAAATTAAGGACCTGACTGCCCCCTATCTTTTCCATTGTCACTTCTTTGTTTGTACATGGAAGACGCAGCTGCATAAACTTTCATCATCCTTGAGGTAGTGAACTCACATCTTCCTGTACAACCACTCACATTGTTCCAAAAAGACACTTAAAAACCACAGTCAACAAAGTGCACTTCTGCAAAGAAAAGAGCACTTCTCCTGAGTAAACCCGTGTCCATTCTACTTCTGTCATCAAAGGAAGTAGCTCTATGACAAAAAGGCATAGTACTATACCTGAAACTGGAACTGTATTAGAGGGAGCCCGGTCAGGACAGGGCATATTTGTTCCATAGCTCCTCTCCTGCAAAGACAGGGCAAGACTCCACATCAGTCTCACTCTACTCTAGTCATGGTAAACTATTTACATCTCAGAGCATTAGATTAATGGAATCCCCATGTACTTTGTATACAACTACTCAGCTCAGCCTGCCCTCAGTCTGTGCCTTTTGGAGGCAGACACAAACTCAGCCTGCTCAGAAGTTGTGCAGCCTTACAAGTGCAGCACAACTCTTGCCTACCAGTGGGGCCATGTCTGAGCCATGTTATGCTCAGCTACGCAACATTTGGTGTGCCCATACCCTGAACATCTTTTGCAAGAAACTGTTTGAATGTCCCTGAAATATCCTAGCACAAAACCATACCTCTGTCAGCAGGCCATGAGCCTGCCTTCTGCATATGCAGTCCTGCATGTGCAGCCAAGGGTTTGCCCTCCTGGCTCTTTTGGGTTGCAGCCTACTGACAGAAATACTCCCAAAGTCTACTGTTAGTGAAGGGCTGACCATCAATACACCAGAGCAAACCATCGCACAAGACTCAAAGATGTGCTTTGGCTCCAAATCTTTCTGCAGTATTCCTTCAGTAGGATAACTTGCCTAAGGAAAAGATACTTGTATGTCTTGTCCCATTTTTCTGGATGAAGTTTTAAATTTTTAATTAAAAATCCCAACAAAACAACTACAAACATAACATAATATTGCCCCTTACATCCTCAACACCGCCTACACTACAGCTATTTCCAAAAATCAGAGTGGTAGGTACCATTGCCTTATGGCAAGGTCTGTACACTCCAAGTGACCAACAGAACAGATGGAACTATATTAAAATGTGAACAGAAATGCATCTTACAACTCGTTACAAATGGGCCATTTTGTCTAGATGGTCTAGGCATTGTGTTCTGAGGCATGAAAATGAACATTATCAACTCACTCTGTTCCTGCTTGGGAACACCAAGTTCTTCTCAAAATCAGAGTACTCTGACTTTAAAAAACCACAACCATGGGTCTTTTTCTCCACACATCTAGTCTGAAACTATCTCACAAAAAAAATTTAAAAATCCATATTCTTTTTTTATTACGGCAATAAACAAGACTAAATCAGACCCACAGAGTAGTTGGATCTGATCTAGTTTCTTCCATAGTAGGACTAAATAGCCCCATTTTCACTTTCTTCTTATCCCAGGGAAAATAACATTTTTATCCAGATGTTTAACATAGGCTCTTACCATTGAAGGCAAGACTCACTTTAGGCTAGATGAACACACCTACCTTACTCACACTCTACAGAATGCACCAAGGAGAGAATGTGCTATTAAACATCCGACTATTTAGTCCCACACAGAAGTAAAAAGCTGGAGTTCTGCATTTAGTTTTCCCAGGTAGCATTGTTTATTTAGGCTACAACATGCTCTTACCCAGCTGCCCCACCCCCTGGAATACACCCAGCCCATTGATGCAAACAGTCCTACTATACCTGAGGTGTTTCTCTGCGGTTTGATGGCCTCAGGGAAGATGAGTAGTTACTATTTCTGTACGTAAACAAGTATGGATTTTCCTGCAGAGTGAAGAGAGTATATTTACCACTGCTAGTGGAAGCATATCAGCTGACGTTAACATTTTCTTCTGGCTACATTTTCTGAGAGAAAAAAACCTTTACAGTATTAATTTCTGAATGAACATTGCATTAGTGAAGTAAACCAGGTTAGACTTGAAAGTGAAGCCCTGGTCTAAAGGCCTGTACTAGGTATGCTCTAGGCACAGCACCACCTCCTGCCTTAAACATCAAACAAAATATAAAATTCTATGTCTTTGATATTTTAATTGCTGTTCAGAAGCTTTTGGATGCCAGTAATATTTTATCACTGTCAAATTATTGAAGTCAGAGCTCAAATGCAAAAGCATACAAGAACCTGTTCTTTGAACATGAGATGCTCCAATCCTGACTACTGACATCTCCAGGGACTAAATGAGCAAAACATGGCAACAGAGGCAAATCACCAAAAAGCTAAATTATATCAAATATATGGATTCAATTTTATTGGCGAACAAATTTGAATATTGATAATGCACCTCATACCTGCAATTAATAAATTCAGATTAGCTAGATATATTTTTGGACTGAAAAAAATTTTACAGAAATTATTTAACTAAATTTTGTCAAAAGTTCTTTTTGTCAGAGTTTCATCTATAGAAAATATAGACTTTGTGTCAATTAACTTTAGGAACACAGCACAGTAACATGGGCAAACACACATTCCCGAAAACTTCAGAAAACAACAACAGTATTTGAAAACTAGGAAATTCTGCAAAGAATAAATAAAATCACAGAATAACAAGGAAGCCCTTTTACCTGAGATGGACACTGGACAATTTTTGTGCCACCATAAGGCTGCTTCTGTCCAACTGGCTGCATCTGGAAAGGGAGAGAACAGAGGAATTGTACACATGCTGCGTGTGGGAAGGAAGGGAGAGCAGCAGCAATGCAAAGGCTCTAGTGCCTGAAGTTTTCCATTGGGATCATAAACATATATCTAAATATACACACTTAAAAATTTCTTTTGCTTATGATAAATATTTATCTATGCATAATATACCACATATATACCTACAAAAGCAAGCAACTGAAAACAAGCCCTCTCATGTGAGCAGACTGTCTTCCCATCATGACTAAAACTTTCATCCAAACATTAATTTGGCTTTTGAGACTGCTGACTCTGTAAGTGTCGATTGTTTATCCTACAGTAAGAATTTAGTGCAATACAACATCCTACCTTTCAGAACTGTTTCATTATCTACACTCTCACACATGTTAGGCAGCACCAAAAGGAGTTTTCCTATTCCATACAGAGACTTAATAACAATTATGCTTGTTGGCCTTCTTGAAGCAAGATGGAGAGGGGATTATTGTAACAAAAAATTATGGAATTATTCAGAAAATAGTGGCAGTACAAAGGGGCAAATACCAAAAATAATCACTTCACCTGTTCAGGCAGCTTGCTGAGTGCTAATTAAATTGCAATCACACACAGAGGAATTGGCTGAGGGTTTAGATCCCTCAGTGCATGCCTGCTCAGCTTGGCACCAGCAGCTGCCAGGACCAGCAGCCTGCACAAGAAGCAGGATGTAAGGGACTGGAAAACACAACAGCAGCAGGCTTGATGTCACCAATACACTCTGTGCAGGAATGCTATATTCTATTTTGATTCTTCCATCAATGAAAATAATGGGAAAATTCAGAGAAATAGAGACGAGGCTTACAGAGTTTATGTTCTTTGAGAGAAACATTTGAAGAAACAGTCTGCTTTTTTGTAGGGGGGTAGGGGAGAATAAAACTAATTTCCCCAAAATGTGTAAAATAATGACGCTCAGAGAAAAGGTACATTGGGATACTTTCCCATCCTCCTAGGAAGAAAAAAAGTAGCTATTTAATCCCATTCTTAAAAGAAAATACACTTCCAACACAGACTCATCCCAAAAAATATGGGATACATACAATACAGTATTTCTTGACTAGAAATTAAGTTCAAACAAGTATTAGACACTTGCATGTGTTGGCAGTGGGGTGACAAGAACAAATTTCTCCAGAAGGCAGTAAGTCCCAGCTGGCTCAGACACTCTGCTCTCCCAGCAAAGACTGGCAGGTCCCATGCAGCTCAGCTGCACGGTCCTGGTCAGGGAATGGGGCACCAGGGCTGTGCTGTGGCCACCAACCCTCCCCCAAATTCTAGCACATCTGTCACGCAGGCACAGTGTGTGGGTCTGCTCTGGTACTCAGCAGGTTCTGAGGCAGCACAAACCCCTGAACACAGAAGAGAGAGGCATGGGCAGCCGGTCTGCTCTGGTACTCAGCAGGTTCTGAGGCAGCACAAACCCCTGAACAAGAGAGAGGCATGGGCAGCCTCCTGCCATGCTGTTCACTTTTGGGCTTTTGCCTGGTTTTAGTTTCTCTTTTGGCTGCAGGATAGGGTTGGGTTTTGTTTCTGTAATACAAAAAAAGTGCCAAAAGACAAGAAGCTCTTAGTCCTATGAAGTTCTTTACATACATGAATGGAGCTTTGCCCTCATATATATATCCAGAGGTAAAATGGAATAATTCTGGCAAATGCCTATGATCAGGCTCTCTGTGGTAAACATCAGAGCTGTGCAATTACACAGCTTTTCCAATGTCATTTATCTGACTGTTCTCTGGCTACACAGCCAACCTGTCTCCGCTTTTCCAATGTCATTTATCTGACTGTTCTCTGGTGTGCTTAGCATATGATTTGCATTGGTCCTAGAGAGTCAGAAAGGTTATGGTCAAATATCTAGCCCTGCCTAGGACAAGCCCTTAGGACATGATGGCTCAGCTCCTTCTCAGTCAGGCTGAAGTGCAGCCCTAAGGCAAATTGCCACTAGATTTTCAAGGTTTTGCCCTTTGGCCAATAAGCAGGTAATGATACCAGGAAAGAGGCTGGTACCAAGCCTCAAAACAAGGTCCTGACAGAGAGCAGGAGAAGGTAAACCTCCGAATGCAATTTCATTCTGCTGTTTCCAGGTCCACAAGTCACGATCTTGATTTCCTATCACCTCCCAAGACTGTGTTATGGGGTTTTTTTTAATTTTTAAAAGAAGTCAGCCTAAACTGTCTAGATTTTCCAGCAGAACTGGAGAGACCTTTATCAAGCGAGGACACCTGCTAGTGCTTTTTATGCTGAACGCATCTTTCATATCTTCTTTTACATCACAGCAGAATAAAGGCAGACAAGGCAATCACAGGCAGACAAAGAAGCAACCCTGAAAGGCTCCCTTCTGATGATTGCTGCTGTACTCTGAAAAATCCACCTAATCAAAGTCAGGAAAAGAGAGGGCAAAATGAGTTGGGGGAATTGTTACCACACAGTCTTCCTTCAAACCTGTGGCAAGATGTGGGTTTGCCACATTTTGCTCCTCCTCCAGCTCACCTAGGCTGCCTCCTCACTAGAGGAATCACCTCACACTGAGAAAAAACACTGAAATAAAGCAAAGCAGGTATCTGTCTCCCTTATGACAGTGTTTTGATTCTGGTGGCTCCACAGCATGCTCACTGCCCAAGTCTGGGTAACTGGCCCTGATGCAGCCAGCCCTAAAAGCACAGCTTCGTTTTGCTTATGGTTTTTCATTTCTACTATTTTCACAAAATGAATGCTGCTGGGCAATCAGAATGACAAGAATAGAGAAGCATGTCACAGAATAGGTTGTTCAAGGACAGAGCAGAGGAGGACAAATAAAGTCTGTGCAGAAAACTATTAGAGACAGAGAAACGAAACAGAGGGCATCTATTTCATGATGGAAGAGCTGAGGTAGGAACCATGACGTCATCACAAGGAATATCACAGATAACAGCAAAGGAGATAAACAGACCCAGCACAGCTGTTCCAAGGTTACCACTGCAATGGGTTATCAATTTTTAACTCCTTGGCTCCTACTAACTTTAACTAAAAGATAACATATTTTAATAAAGTGACTGTACTATTCTTCTAGATACATCGTCTGGTGATGGTAGAAGCCTATAGATGCCTCTTCCTGCAAATTCTGCTTCTTTAAATGATATGGGCTACAACAGCGTTATTACTGCTTGAAGTAGCATTAAAGAAAACAGCTGGATAGGACATCCAGCTCTAGAGGACATAACAAGAGCTCCTCAAGGTTGTCTATCACCTTTTCACCATGAGCAACAGCAGCATAAAGATGATGGTTAAGGAGAAGACAGAGGCACAGGACTCATTAGTACAGCATGGTGGGGGATGCAGGTTAGAGGACAGAGTGGACAGGACTATAATTGCTATAATCTCAGGTTAGGACAAGCCTCAGTCATCCTGTGCTGTGCTGTCAAAGAAGTAAGATTAGCAAAACCAGGATATGTCACAGCTCATTTAGTCCATGAGGCTTCCCAAAGAGCTACTTTGAAAACCTTTCTAAAAAGTCCTTAGTAGAAAGTAGCAGCAGAGTGAGATTTGTCTTGGAAGTGTAGGGCATTTAGCATTATTCAGGAGTAGCCTCCCTGCACAGCTGAGGATAGAAGTCATGGGATAATTTTTGTATTCTTCCTTCCCCTGCCTCTTTGCTACTCAAAGCCTGGCTCGTGCAGGATTGCTACTACTCATCTGGACCAAGTTCAGCAAGAAACAGTCTCTGTGGTACTGCTTACCATGTTATTCCAGAGGCCCACAGCCATGAAAATGCAATCTTCCAGAATTTCTACTTTTGTCTTTGATGTGGTAACCAAATCATCCTCGCCCTGAAAGAGAAAGTACCTTGAGCATCATAAAATAATTAAGAGTATGAAAAGATTAGTTATTCAGTGACAGATGTCCTCAATCCATAAAACAATATTCATATCCACAAGAAAATCAATCTTTGGTATTCTCATTAAGCCACTTGCCACTGATGCCAGTTACTACTGGTGTGTCAAGATAGAAAGATGTTATTTTAGTAAATGATTGTTGCACATCAACAGGACAAGAAGAGCAGAGCAATAACACAGCATGATCACATGCTCAAAGTAGAGCAGGAAGACTCAGATGTGAACACATGAATCATTTGAATAAACAACACTGCTAGTTTATACCTGTCTTTAAACATTAGAAATATACAGAATTTGTCTTAAGCGAGCATGATGAATTTTAAATGAAATGTAACTGCTGGAAGAGTTTGGAAGGTTACATATGGTGGCCTGCAGGCGTACCACAAATCAGAAGAAATAAAGACTCCACCTATGACACATGATGGCATTCAAAGAGCAAATCACTGACAGAAAAAGTAATGCCATGAAAGTTAGAAGTCTGCTATTTGCATACAGAGCAACCATCTACAAAAAAAGCCTGGCAAAAGACAACCCCAGCACCAACAAGATTTTGCAACATAGTAAATCCTTTGTTTTCCTGGAAAAAGAATTTCTTCTCTGAATTCACTTTGTTCTGATACTGATCTGAGGGGAGCAATGGAATTACCTCAGATTCATGGAGCTATTATCATGATTCTCAAAAGCCCAGACCATGAGTCATTATCAACCCATTTTACGAAAAAAACCACCTAATGTGATGGGTTTTGCTACCTCACTCCAAGTAAGCCATTCTCCAGAAAGTAATATTCTCCCTCTTCATTGCCAGATATTAGACAACCCTGACCTTTCAACTTCCCTTTAAAGACCACTTATAACACAAGCATGCCTGACATCCTAGACAATCCCATATTCATTCCCTACTGCCTACACCAGAAAAACAGTCTGAGTTTCCACACTCATTGCACGGACATAACTGTACTTTCCAATAGTTTACAAACACCTTTACCTTTTGTCCCTCTAACCCTTCTAAATACTTCACATTACCGACGTTTTTGCCTTTGTTGTCAAACACCTGAGCATAAACAGGGATGAATATGGTGGTGACTACAAAGATATGGAAAAATCAGTGGCACTGACAGCTTCCAGACACTTGTGATTTTAGGTGCAGAGATGCCATAGCTTGATTTATCCTGGAGCATAACATTCAAAAAACACAGGATCTCTGACTCATGCTGTTTAAATCAAGTTCCACTCTCAGGACTTCTGTGTCTGGTCCTGAGGTATGTTCTTCCTGAGCTTGACTACCCTTATCTTCCAGAATTACACAGCCTAGGACAGGAAAGCCTGCTGAACACTGCAATCAGTCTCAACAGACACAAATCAGAAAGAATGGAGCAGCTTGCGTTTACTCACCAGTCCGAGCAGCAGATTTCTTCCTTGGAGAGAAGGCTGAAGAACAACAGTGAAGTCATCCTTTTGATCAAACCTCTCAGACTCCAGTAGTTTTTCCAAAGCATCCTAAATAGACAACCATTTAATGAGATAAGTATTATTGGGTAGAGAGTACAATGTATGTGTGATTCATCAGGACTTAAAGTACATTTAAATTATCCCCATCCCTAATAAACCACAGAAATAAAATTGTGTAATCCAGAACAAACACAGTAATTTAATGAAATCTTGTTATACAACAACTTGAAAATCCTTGTAGCTATAAGAAAGATGGTTTACCTTCATTTTCTTTGACAGTGCAGTAAGCTTAGCAAGGCAATGAAATGTCATGTTTATTGCCACCTTGGCATGTTTAAAAGAAACTCTAGCACAACTGTCTTTGTCTTAACCGAAAATTTTTCTTCTCTAAATCATGTGGCATTTTACTGGACAAGATGGATCATTTCTGGGATCGGATATGAAAAATCCTAGGCTGCCAAAAGTTATACAGACATTTAAAACTTAAAGAGATACTAAGATCACTCAGGTATAGAGAGAATTTCTTGTCAATATTCCTGAGAATTATGGGATTGGAATTGCTATGGATGTGTGATAGAAACTTCCTCACTGCTACTCCTCCCTTACCTCCTTGCTTCAGGCAGATCTGGCAAATGAATAGACATGTCTAGCAATATGAGAGCCAAACAACAGAGAAGATGCCATACCTGATAGGACCACCTCAGTATGTTATCATGTAATGTGGAGTGTTCAACATAATTGCACTGATTCCTGCAGAAAAGAATTAAAAAAACATGAAAGACATTATGAATTTTTGATAAACAAGGTGGATAGCATGAATTCTTTTATGCCACTGACAAGAACATACTAAAGACTAAATTGTTGTATTTGTAGAAAAGGCTACATGGAACACGCTAATTTTTGATATAAACATAGAATTACATATATTCATATATCCAGAGCTTTGTATCTCTTTTTGATTTAAAAGCCTAGTCAGTTGACAAGTATGCCAGACTTAGATTAGCACAGGATCTCACAAGCTAGCAACATGCTCAAGCTTAAAATAACAGCTGCATTGGTTTTCAAACATTTCCCTCCCTGTACTCACACAGGAAAATTGAACAAACTCAAAATATTTCCACAGGAACATTTTCTTTAGTATTTGACTTGAAGACCTGCATCTAGAAATGTGGATGGAAGTTACATAAGTTTATACATGCTAAAGGATGACTGGCACTGTCAGATTTCTGACCTGCAAGGTGCATATTTTTGAAGCTAGCTGGAGAATTCTGAAAGTTCCTAAAGGTGTAGATGGGAACAATATAAGATACACATAAGGTTAGTCAGGTTCCAGCAAAATATACTCCCTTGAAATTTCCTGGATGGACTGGAATCTGAAAAAATTTCTGGGGGGTTTGCAGATATAAGCAATAAGTATCTGTCAGGATCCTTTTCACAGAGCTTAGCTAAAGCCATAAAATGAGTGTTTTCTGATAAAGTGGTATTATCACTGCTGGTGAGTGAAAGAAATATAAAATCAAGACCAGAATCTTACCCAAGCCTAAGAGAGGAATCTCATAAAAAGAAAGTTGCATGCCTAAAAATGGGGTTCATGTACTACTTTCAGGGCAGATGCTTCTGTTTAGTAAGAAATTCGTAAAGGAGGGAACTTTAAACCCCATTATGTCCCAAACTTCAGTGCCTAAAGTTAAGGCACAGGACTGAAAGTGTCAACCACTATTATCCTCTTTGACTCTTGAAATTTCACATTTTGGTATGGATTTATATTTTTCTCTCAAAGCACAGTTCATAATGACAACTTAGCAACCAAATGCTGGAGGTCCTAATCTGGGACAGGATCTGGGACTGAGGCCGTCTAACAAACTAGTGGGAGCTGTGTTTATCAACCAGATAAACACAGCTATGAGAGCATGCTGACAATAAGAAAGAAAATTGCCTTAAGTACAAAAGCAAATATAGCAATACCTCACAGGAAAAAAAAATTAGATCCATTTCATTTTATTTTTAAGGCCTTCAATATGTGGCAAGGCCCATATTCCTGAACACAGCTTTTCCACATTTCTCACATTTTACCCCTTCATGTTTGTGCAGGAGAAATAAGCTAGAGTGCCCCATTCAGTCTCTTCTGACAAGGAATGCTTCTCCTCTCCCTGTATTTGTCAAGTACATGGTTACACAGCAGCCAGAACTCTTCCCCTGTTCCATCAGAACATCTCTGCAAAGCTTGTGAAACACTTCAGGATGACTATATTAGTACATATGGTGCCCTATGCCACGAGCACGGGGAAAAAAATTACTATGGAGTAAGACAAAGTGTAATCTCACCAGCTGTAAACTACTCCATCATAACTGCTCATGTGCACACTCCTACTCCATACTAAATCGGGACACAAACTACTCATGCTTTTGTTACAAAGTACTGAGCAAGACAGATAAATAGATGCAGTTACCATAAGGAACTAACAACTTGGATGTTGTACCCTAGCATACCCTAAGCCTAAGTGGAATTTTTCCAATAGCCTAAAAATGTTCTTTAAAATCAAAAATGTTCTTTAAAATCAGCTGCTCATTTTGTGAACACTGATATGTAGAAATTCAAACTTTCGAAGCCCCTACAGAGCTTCTGACTTGAGAGTTGCAGAACAAAAGTATCACTGAACAAAAAACTGGGGGTAGCTAGATGATGCAGTTTTGTGACCATAATCTGTCTAAGTGCTAGGTCTGGCTGGGATAGAGTTAACTTTCTGCAAAACAGCCCATATGGTGCTGTGTTTTGGATTTGTGGCTAAAACCATTGATAACAAACCAGTGCTTTGGCTCTTGGTGAACAGTGCTTGAACATCGAGGCTTTCTCTTTTTCCATAACTCTGACCCAATATTTAAATATGCTGTCCAATTTGATAGGATAAAAAGCACTAGCTTCCTAATAAAAATATATCTTTCAGAGAGAGCATATCAGAAACAAAGTGAAGACTTAAAATCTTTTACATACTTTTGTATTAAGGGCAGAAAAACAGCTCAATAGATTGCATCTCAGTCATAAACATAGGTATATATGTACATGTATATAGGTATTTGTTGAACACCAGCAGGAGACAGTGACAAGAAGTTAAGGAAACCTGTTACCTGGCATTACTGTAATCTTGGCACACAAGAGAGGCAGTTGTGAGCTCAGTGGAATCCACTAGATTTACGAAGGCCTTGGGAACCTGCAGTTATAAAGTAAAAATTATTCATGCTAGATTTGCAATTAAAGATCAGCAAGCAGCAATTATGGTAAATTACGTCTAGAACTTCACATGTATTACCTCTGAGATTCTGCCTACGTAAAATCAATGACCTAAGTCTTTGCCAATTCTGTCCTGAACCCTGATCCTATGCCTGCAATCTAGGATCATCATTTTTAAAGTACTTGTGGCCATGTTTTTTGACTGAGACACAGCAAGTCATTTTACATAACCAAAATGGCCACCAGCCAACTAAACTGAACTCAAATGAACTTGGGACTACCATTTTTGTGGCAACATAGCAATGCAAAGCTTGGGACGAAACATCCTGCATAATAGCACAAGCACTCATGCAACCCACCACACCTCTCCCCTGTGCAGAAAGCAGCTTTTCATTTACATAATGATCTTTCACATTCATAAGTGCACATAAACAGATTCTGGAAATAATAGTGGAGAGAATCTGAAGAGAATGTGTGGGTGGAATTTCCCCCATACACAACACTTGCTGAAGTCAGTTGGAGAAAAACGAGTGGTTGGGGTCTGATGCAACCAACTGTAGCAGGTTTAGAACATGCTGTAGACCTTCAATGCAGCAAAAGAAAATTAATGGAAGATGCTATTGAAATAATTCAGTTAAACAGTTTATAGTCTGCTTTAGTAGAAATCTATCCTCATCTAATCTACTATCATTAGTAGATCAAGACACAGCACAGAATGCTTCCCAGAAACCATCCTAGATAAGCAGATAATTCTTAGCTCAGCCAGCTAGAAAACCTTCAGAAAGGCTGAGATTTTTAAACTATCACAAAATAGGAAAAAAGGTCTATTATATGTATTTTAATGGATATTTTCCCTGGTCTGTAAAAGTCATCACCAGGGAGTTAGCAGCCTGTACACTTCAGCATCAGTAATTACATACCAGTTACTTTCACCAACAGCCCTGTTAAACATAACTTTCCCACCTAGACAGATTAATTCCAACTTTCACATAAATCATCTTTAAAATACCCAAAGATTGAGTGGTACATTAGCTTGTGTTGCAAAACAGAGCAGTTACCCATCCATCCTTTCAGTTTGCATGCGTCAGCTTTTTAAAAACAGGAGTAAAACACTTAGTGAAAACAGAGCCAGTGGGTTGATGTTAATGAGACTGGTGTTCTAAGTCATGTGAAGAGTGATACAAGCTCTAGTCTAGTAGGGGAGACTGGAAAAATACACAAATTATTCAGCTATTCAGGGTTGATGAATACGTCTTACCTTCTTATACAAAAAATCCAAGACAGCTGTAAGTTTTTCCAAGTTTTCCTGTATGCAGCTCTGCTGTAAATGAGATGAGAAAGGGCATCAAAACTAGTAGAAGAAACAGTTATCCATTTCCTAAAAGTCACAAACTCTGTGTGTTGAGCTGTGAAGGGTTATTAAGAATCACTCCATTCTAAATTCAGCCTCAGCCAGCCACAAGTAAATAACATGGGAATTAGACTTGTAATTTAACTGCCTATAAATAGAGAACTTGACATATAGTAAAAAAAAAAAAAAGACAGGGATAGAGAAGAAAAGTATCTTTATACTTGAAGGTGGAAACCAGTTGTTCTACTAAGACATCTCAGAATAGGGATGGCAAATTAAGTACAGATGTCTATAAATACAAAACAATGTGTTTTGTATTTATAGACATCTGTACTTAATGCACACAATTATGTGCAATGCCTCGATCACTGGATCAAGGCATCTCAACATCCCACACCTAACTACCCCTTTGGTTCCCTGTGGCAGAGAGTAGAGTATGGGAAAGTGTCTTAACTACCTGCCTTGACTGCTAAACCACCTCACAAAGCACTTACCAGTTGTGTGGAAGCATAGGAGGAACATGAGGTTTCAGCACTAAAAAACACTGTGATCAGTTTCCAGTCATTTTGGAAGTCTATCATCTGGGAGAAAAAAATAAAGGAATGGTATTACAGGTGATCTATTTGCTATTTTCCTCTCTCACACAAAATTTGCTGTGGGTTCAAAACCAGCAAGATCAAGCAGTAGTCCACGGCCCGTTCCTCACTGTCTTGGTCCCTTCCATTTTGACAAACCATCCAGCTTTTTCTTAGAGGACACAGCAAATGGATAGTTAGGCATCAAGTGCTGCAATTAAAGCTGAACACACACCTACAAGAAGCTCAGGATAGAGCCTGAAATTGCTGCTGCCATAGGATGCCACTACTGGAAAAGATGGGTATGGGCAGCTTAGCACAGAACTTGATATTGTCTATTTCCATCACTGTTGCATCTTGCCAAGAGGATTACTGTATATGAACTGCTGAGAGGGGTCATACTAGTGGGACAAAGACTGGAATAAAAAATTCTGAGAGCTGCTCAGATGTGCTCTGTTTATTAGGCAATGCTGTACAATCCTGAAGAGCCTTGGTTAGAACCACACAGTTCTACAAAAATGCATGCTAAATCCCTGTAGAGCAAAGAGGCAATAGCAAAATGGCCTTAGCAATTACATTTTCCCATTATTTCAAGACTATTTTATGAAATAACCTCATGGTTAAGAATAAAGGAGAAATGAATGCTTAAAGCTGCAGGATAGGACCTAAAAAGCACTCAGCCACAAGGGATAATTCAAGCTCTCACCAGCATCACCAAAGCATATTTAGGTCTTTATTGGCCTTTTGGAAAACATGTTCCTAAAAGACCAAAAAGGAACTGAAGAGACAAATACTGAGAATTATTATTTTGGGTTGACTTCTAAGAAATACTGGTACAGAGTTACAGAGTGTAGCTAGCAGAAGTCTCACATTTTTAGCCAACAGAAAGCAAACATGCTGTCTTCCCTACCAAGCTCTTCAGCTGCTTTGACAAAAGCAAAAAAGGTGGGATACTTTCAGAAAAAAACTCTCTACTTGAAAAGCACGGGATTGATTCTTAATTACAACAGAAAGCCTGAAGTCCATTAACCCCAAGAAATGGCATTTTTTGCTTTGAAAGTTTTTTGAGCGCTGTTTAAGTATTAAACCACTTTTCTACCTTTTTCTGCTTCAACACCATGCTTTCTGAATTGTCCTGTGCTTTAAACAAACCTGATCCACTTTCATGAGCTTCACTATTTCTTCAGCTTGATGCAGGAGGTCTCTGAAAAGAAGAAAGGAAGAGAGAAATTATGAAGGCATCAGTAAGGTTAAAGCTTTGGCTGATTTTTACCATTGAATCAAACACCTTTTGAGGATTCAGGTTGGATTAATCTTTTCCTAAATGTGTTATGATTAAACAATTGACTGTGCTACCCAGAGAGCTTTGGATGATTAGTTCATATTCAGCTACCTGACTTCCAGACATGTGCACTTAGATAAAAACAGCAGCTTAGTAGGCACACCTCAACTTCTATTTGAGCCAAAAATTTGTTTTGCAGCTATAAAAGAGACCTGATTTTTAACTCTGGTGATAGAACAGACCCCAAAGTGGGGCTTTGTTCCTCCTGATTCTGACAGGTGCCAACTGAGCCACAATGACAGCCTCTGCCAGTACTGAGCACAGTGTAGATACTTTGCACAGTGTAGCAAAGATTTGCATCCTTCCCCTTCTACACCAACTGCCCAGCCAAAAGTCCCTCAGACTCACCTGGCTTGACTGTCTGGCATCTCTCCTGCTGTGCCAGGTGGAGGGGACAGATGTAGGACCGAGGGGTTGAAGGTGCTAATGAGAGCTGAATGACACACACAGGTTAGGAGATTGCTGCATCCAACAGACTGCTACTCTGCTGATTCATTAAACACAGCTGGACTAAAACAGCACCAGGGCATGTAAAGTCTGAGGATCCCTTGGCAAGCATGAGAGGTATGGTTAAGCCCCTCTGCAGCTGTTTTCCTTGGTTCTGTTCCTCACCTTGTGAAGTGAAGGCTTGATGTCTGCGTTTGCCTTCAGACTCAGGTCAAAAACCTCTGTCCCCATCTCATGTCAGCCACAAGTATTGTAGGGGGGCTTAAATATAGGGCAGCTGTAGAAATGAAGCTACTGGGAAAGGTTACCCAGGGAGACTCATAAAACACCAGTGAGTTGCCATGTTTTAAACCCCTTTCACAGGGAAATAGACACCACAACAAGGAGTTAAGATACAAGGAAGATGATGTGGAAGGCAGGACCCTGGAGCCATGTATTTCATGCCCACAGCATTTCAGTGGGCATGAAACTTCTACTTGCAATACCCTTTAAGAAAGTAAAGGCTGACTTCAGAGACAGGCAACAAATTCCCATATGTGGAGCATCTATGGCAGTCCCAGTATAAATTCTAAGCACATGGCAGTTCTGGGCAGGCAAATCCATACAAGATTTCACTGGGCCAGCATGGGCCACAAGAACACACCAGCAGAGACTGTGTAGTGGGTAGAAATAAGAGGCCAAAAAACCCTGCTGGGCATTTAAGCATCTTGCAGCAATCTGCCACACCCCCTCCTCACTGCTGTTTGTCTACACAGTCTCTTTAAAGCCATCACGGACAACCCAAGCTGGCTGTACTCATGTCCCCAGGTACACCACCCTTCAGGCTTCCCTTACACCCCTGCTGTGTGCCTGTGCTGCACATGCTCTGCAGCCCAGCAGAGCCCTGAAGCTCCTGCCAGCAAGCTGTTAAATTAATTTGATGAAGTTTTAGTGTGACAGCAAGACGCACCTGCTAAAGTTGCCATGCTTATTTCAAGGAAGTTCTTTCCTGAGCTATAGAAAGGGAAGAGAAAACAGGAAGTTCCTGTTATTCCATTTCTCAAAGAAAAATTATATTACAGCACAGCCTTAATTTCTTATTAGTTATGCTGCATCTCAGAGTGAAATTCATGGCAGCTGTTGCAAGTAAGAATGGGGCCTTTCTTTCCCCAAAACTGTCATGTCATCAGCTACTGCTGAGTAAGAACACAGTCTCAGATCTCAAATTTTTGTCTCTTTACCCTCTTCATGTTGCAGTACTTGTGCTTGCTTACACGTAGGTATAAGTGATGCAGGGGCCCCTCCGTGTATACCCACATACAAGTGGACACATGTTTTTGCAACCATTAAAAAAACTTAATCTTTAAAATTTATCTGTGCAGCACTAAATCCTCATCTGCAAGGCTGTGACTCAAAAGATCTGCACAGACCTGCAACTACAAGGTTTAGCCATACGTTCTTTCACTGATTTGGAGCTGCTGAAGGGGCATGGGAGAAGGAAATGGTGTAAAACTTGTCCATGAAGCACTGGGAATAAGCCAAGCAGATTGGGTATCAGTAGTCCAGGGTATCTGGATTACTGAGTTCTTTCTTAGCTCTGATAAATCCCTGCTTTCTTATCTCCAACTAGTGAATTATTATATTTATTGCCTAGGATTTATCACACAGCAATGATTCTTAATCAAGGGTATTGCAACCCGTAGATAATTCTATATCCTGCATAAGTACAAAAAATATGTTACCAAAGGACAGGGAAAATTTCAGTGTCTCAAAATCCTCTCTATAAAACAAAACAAAACAAAAAAAATGCTTGGGCCTAACTCCCGCACTAAGACACTACAGAGATTAGGATAATGAAACTTACAAAAGCTAACTATTAATTCTTACCTTTGGAGTAAGTCCTCACCAGATCCTGGTGTCTGTGAACAAAGAAGCAATAAGAATAATATTAACTAAAGTGTAAACTAGACCTAGGTATGCTGTTCTCCTACCATATTTTAGTCCTGTTAGACATAGTATTGTTTTCTATATACTCCTTTCCATTATGTTGTAATCACTCACAGATTTAGATTATTTTCCAGAACTTCCCTATTGCAGTGTATTTTCATAATCTGGTAACCCTTTCTTAGTTACTGCTTTCATTAATAATTTTTTAATATATGGCTTAAAATAGAATTTGATTTGTTGAAATCAAATTCCATAAAATGAAATGCCATTCTGGGCCAAATATCTCTGGATCTACTCCCACTCCTTTTCAACCAGGGACATGACCTGAAGTCATTTAGATAATTTACATAGATGGCACTCAGACAGAAGAGAGTCTGTTAAAAAGAAACTACATCAACAGAGGAACTTCACTGAATTCAGAGAGTTTCATGAGAAAACAGAGATGTTTACTCTAGGAAAGCAAACATTCCCTAAAAGAAGATCATTTACATGTTTTTCTATGACACCCGCACAAGAACAAGGACACCAGCACAAAGAAGACTTGGTCCAAAGGGCCGTGCACCTGGGTGAAGCACCCTTGCATTCAGGACAATCATTTTTTTCAAAAGAGAGAGGTACTCACAAGGAGTCCAGAAGTGTTGATTTTGTAAAGGAAAAGTATTATATATTCATGGATACCATCTCAAATTTGAAAGTTGTTTTGTAATAAGGGAGACTGTCCCCCATTTTTCACAGTCACAGCCTCTCCAATGGCTATCAATTTTTGCTCTACAGGCATTTCTACACTTCCTCAAAGCATGAGAATTGTACTTAAATGCTTTTAATTGGACCTCAAATCAGCTTCAGATATTCACTTCCAACTATTAAGACAAATAAAGATCATCCAAATCTAACTATATTATTACAGGCAGGAGAACTTTACCTACTGATCTATAAAGCAGAAACATATATTTGTGATTCTTGTAGACCTTCTGCCTTCCAGGTAGGAAACCTGTTTCTACAGAAAACACTTGATGAGGTGGAAAATCTACTGGATTTCTCAACAATTTGTGTTTGTTCCAGTTTGAATTTTCCCAGCATCTTCTTCCAGTTATTCAGTCTGTTATGCTCATTGTTAGGAAAATCCATGCACTCTAATCAAATATCATGGTTCTCTGCAAGAACACTGTGATCACATTTCCTCCTGCACTAAGTCAGCTGGCTATTTTTAGACTCAGGGCATATTGGAACACTGAACAGCAGGTATTTCCAGCCATTTTTTCACCAGAAGTCTTTGATGCTTGTGGAAAGATTGAAGTTCTGAACACCCTGAGACCCCAAACTACATCATCAGCTGACTTCAGCATCACAGCAGAGGAAATGGGTCACATTCAGCACATTTCCTGCTTGTACTTACTCTTTGAAAACTTCCTATTGCAGTGACTGCTTTAATGTCAGCTGGCCTTAGAGCATGAACTGCAGAAAAGCAAGACTTCAGGTTACAAAAAAACCCCAACACAGAAACTCCAAAAGAAGGTTACATTCAGCAGTATATTAAAACAAATTTGGCTAAAATGGTAAGAAGTCTATACTGACCACTTTGATTGGAGGTTTTAAACTAGTCAGAAAGCATGAAAAACTTTACTCAGGTGTTCAGCAAATACTCTGGATGTTTAGAGGCACTGAAGTGCTCAACCATCAAGCAACAAAAGATCAAAAAACACTTCTGAGAATGACTGAAGTAATAGTGGCACCCCTAATCATCAGCTGAAGAAACAAAGGTAGAAAAGTAATCACAAGTGGAACAAAAATCTAAGGAGTTTATAGAGCCTAGCTCCACTTCAGTCAATCCCATACATAGGCATCCCCACAAACAGCTGATTTCTGCCCCAGCCCATTCTCAAATAATTTTGTGAGGGAAAGCCTCTGCAGAGAAAATATCAAACACAAACCTGAAGATGAAGGGGTCTCAGGGAATGTCGCCTGCTCACATGAAAACTGCAAGCTTCTTAGAGCCTTAGACATAAACAAATAAATATGGTTGATTGCTTAGATCTAACACGGAAATTTGTTGAATGAGGGGTCCTACAGGCCCCATTCTCACATGCAACCAAGATTTTACTCATGTAAACAACTTCAAAGAACAATTACACATCTGTTAGAAATACATGGGAACACAGATCTGGACAGCTGCATCTTCAGTTAACTCTTCTAGAACTTGACACTTTCTGCTTAGTTTTCTTATTGGCTGCCACAGCACTGGGTCTGAACAAACAATGAAATGTGCTGAACACATCCTGCTGCAGTGACTGCTGAATCTGGAAGAGGTCATAAGGACAGCTACTGCAGGCATCTCTGCGTGCCAAGGGGCACCCAACTGACACAACAAAACACCTCCAATATGCAACAGGAAAGGCAGAATGAACCAATTCTGGCTCCTTAACAACACCTGGCCAGGTGATCAGAGAAGGCAAGGATGTGAGTGATATTCAGTCAGCATGAGAGACAGCTCAGTACCAGCAGGAACATTGTTCAATGCCATCCTACATCCTTATGGTAGGCACAGCCCAACATCAAGTTCTTTAAAGGGACATGAAAGGCAATCCTTGCCTCCCCAGGTGACTTGGCAAGGGATTCCCTCATCACAATGACCATGAGTAGCTGTCTGACAATTCCTAATATCCAAAGGTTAAATCTATATAGTGACACAGGCCACCAGGGTCCCCACACATTCCCTAATGCCCAGCTGGAGGACTTTAAGGATGCAGACAATTTGCACTGTTATAAAGCAAATAAGAGTTTAATTCTGTGTTTCTAAAAGAGCAACAGAGCATCTAGGAACAAGTGCTAACCACAAACGACCTACATACAGGATATGCAACCTAATAACAAACATTGCTCGGAGAAAACCTCATTTCCTGATTACGTTCTGTAATCTTGCAGCTGCACTATCACATTGCTGACTCACTGGCTTTGCATTTCTTCTTTGCAGAAGCAGTTTGGAGCAACAAGCTGCATTCTTTCTTCTTCTGCCTGCCTCAGAGGAAGCAACAGCTTGACAGGTAATGATAGGTATTGAAAACATAAAAAAAAAGAAAGTTGTATTCATACTTTACCTCTAGTTTCTCATATTCTTCCTGATCATCTGCATTACCTTAAAAACATTAAATAAAGGGTTATGCTATATATTTTTTTTTTTACATTAGGGGAAAAAAAAAAAAGCTCCATAAGACTTAATATACCTAAAAGCACATAATCTGGAGAGAAGGCGCCTTTCTTATCTGCCCTCCTTTCCAAAGATGAGGCTCATCCCAATAAGAAAACATATTTTCTTTGATTTTGTATACTAGAAAAAGCTTTTAGTTATTATAAGCAGGTGATATCTCTTGAAATTAGCGGAATGTGATGAATTTATAGCAACAGGTGATGAACTGCTTGTGGATCCCCTCAAATAACCCCATCCTTCACAGACCTTCTCTACCTGCTTTCCTCTTCAGCATATTTCATACACTGCTATAGTCTCATTTTATCCAAATTTAGAGTAGTTTGAACATGTACAAGGTGAATACCTTAGAAAGGAGCAATTCACATTAATCTACATCTCCCACAGTCAGGGAGCAGCATAATACTGTTGTGAGTTTGCCATAGTGATACAGAAACAGCTGCAATTTATTCTCTTAGTAGAGTGTTGGCAGACAAAAGAGCCTGTGGAGCCAGGAGTTAGGCCTGCAGATGTTTCAGTAAACATTACTCTCTTTCCTTGAGCATACACTTGGATTTATACAAATAGATTTTGGTTTATTCTAGAATTTCCACAAAGCTAGCCACAAAGCCCAGGTTAGCTGAACTTCAAAGCATGCTCTCAGCTGTTCTTGCTTGCCCCACTGAAGCCATCAACATCCAGCAAGTCTTATACAGAATTAGAATAATTGTCCTTTAACAGTCAGGAGCTATTTTTGGAATATTTAGCCCTGCTGAGTACTTTTGGCTTGTACACCTTACTTTCTGTGTCAATGACAGAGTAAGAGCTGAGCCAGCTCAGTCCAGCAGGTGAGACATCCTCGGGTGCAGGGCAGCCAGAGGTGCTCACGCTGCAGGAAGATGTGCCTGGCATGGGCAGGGGGCTCTGGCAGCCTCTGGGGACATGGGTACCTGTGCACACTGTCAGTGTGGTGACACACGCCACTACTGCTCCCCACGACCGCCTCAGCCTGTCACCTGTGCCACACTACATGACCATATTCAATGAATGGCAGCAAATTCTATATGTGGAGTTTTTTCCCTACTTGGGTTTCAGCCATGAGCTATTTGCCCATTTACATTATTTTTGCACTACTTTGTAGAAGGTTGAGACAGTTTCCTGGCTGTTGTGTGACATATTTTTAACATTTCTGCCTGTTCAGTCTGTGGGTTTTGATGATGCTTTACTCAGGACAATAAGCACAAACCCAACTCTGTTTGGGATACTGGAGGCAAAAGCAATGAGGGACTTGTCTGCATCACACAAATCTACTGCAGGAACTCCGTATCTGAGAATTTTAACACTAATGTCAACTACCTTTGAGAATAGTTGCTTAGATTACATTGAGAGAGAAAGAGGATCCAGTCCCAACTTCCAGGACTCAGGGAGTTGGAGGAACAGTTTTAATGTGTCAAACTTAAAGACTGTCTAGTCTGGGATTTTGCCTCTGACAATATCCAAATGCAGATGTTTAGGCAAAGAATAAGGAAAATACAGTTATATTTCCATTTTCTAACCTCCCAATTATCCATACTATTGTGCTCCCCAAGCAAGCAATTACTTAATGTTGGTGAATTCCTTTCTCATCTTTCTTCCACAAATTTGCCTGTTTGTTTTTCTAATACTTTCACACTTTTGGTTTCCCCAAGAATTGTGGCAAAAGATGCTTCATCACTCAATTAAATGTTGGAAAAACTACTTCTCATTTGTTAATAACCTGATTGTTTCCTTGTTGCTCTTGTAAAGAGTAGTCATTCCCTAGTTTCTGCAAAATTTGCCATTTTGCATGTGCCTGTATGTTTTTTGTCATATACCTATCCCTTCTTCTCTAGGCTGAAGAGACAGTTTCTCTGATCTCATGTTGAAGTTTTTTTCCTAAATCTGACCACTCTCCCCTTTATCCTCCTCCTAGGTTTTACCACATCTTTTTTGAGATGAAAAATCCAGACCACTGTCAAGATGCAGGTGAACCATGGTCCTGTACACAGCAGCAGCAATGTGGTTTTTATGCTGTGCTCTTGCTAACTCCTGAAATAATTTCTCCTGACTATCACTAGCACTGATGTCTTCAGACAGTTGTGTTCTGGGGCCAAGCAGTATCTACTCAGAATTCACCATAGCACACACATAGATAAGAGTAATATATAAGGGGAAAACTTAATCTAAATTTCATTCTAATCATCCTGAATAGCTTTGCACCAACAAGTTAAAATCCACCCTTATCCAGATCACTTCTGAACATGTGCAGAGCCCACATCCCAACACAGATCAATATGAGCATCACAGTTAATAAAATAGACACATTCATATTTCTACTTGGCTCACTCCCTTGGGTGGATATCATCTAATCCTGGCAGTTCTTTTACTATTTGTCATCAGTTTGTTCAAGGATTTGGTCATTACTCCTCTTGTTGCCTGTGCTGAAAGGCTTGGAGGGCAAGGCCTTTTTTAAGCTGTTATGCAAGGACACCAGAGACAAAAAGAATTTGTCAGGCTTCAGCCTTCTTTTATACATCAGTCAGTCCTACAGACTCCATCTTTCAGAAGAATTTGGAAAATAATTTATTGGTTTTCATTCCTTTAGCAATAATTCATTGTTTATCTTCAGATTAATTTTTGTCTTGGCTGATTAAATTTTAACCTCTTCAGTTTTCTTAGTTTGTTTTGGATTTACACTTTCCATAGGAAAACTTTAACTCCTGCTACTCCCAGTATTATAGTTACTCCCTTACTATACCATTGAATAATTCTAACTTGCATTTTCAATTTTCTTGACATAAAAAAGAAAGTATTTTTCAGACAATTCTCCCAAAATTTGGGAGAAAGATTCTAACTCCTTCCTCCCTTGCTCTTACAGTTAATATGTTTCAGCAAACAATTCTTATAGGCTGCTATCAATCAACATCCTTTTTCCTGAATAAAGTTTTCAGAGGAACTACAGCCACTGTGCATATCTTTCACTAAATTAAAAAGCTCAGATGTTATAATTTCTTCTAATTACTTCAGGAACCAAAACCTTCTAACAGTTTATTATTTATCACAGCACCTTATAATCCTCTGAAGATAGTGATCATCACAGCCTACTGCTAAGGTAAAGCACTATTACTTTATTCATTATTTTCTTACAGGCAGAGACCTGAAGCACAGAGCCAATAAAGCCAAAGCATACACAGCATTTTCAGTCTTGAGCACCTACAAAAATATCATTGGCACCAAACATGGACTTCAGAGACCCAGTATAGGGAATAAGGACTCCCCTACCATGAATATTACAGAAATCTGAACAATGCCTGGAATTCCAGAATGCTGAGTAACCCTTCACTTAATCTTTTATCACTGAAAAGAAGATGATCACAGTTATGAATTCAGAGAAAACCTCTGTTCCTTGCTTGAATTTCTGCACCATTTTGGCACAGATCTCACTGCTAGTCTAATTGTTTGGTGATGTTTGTCTCACCAGAATGCTTCAGTGCCCTAGCACAGTCTATCCCCAGAACAGTGCAAACCAATGAATACATCTTCATCAAAAAATGATCAAACATAGCCAAAACTGCATTTAAGATCACAGTTTTACTCACAGATTTTCTTCATCCCGCTTCTAAAACTCCTGCTATACACCCACCTTGCAACTAAAAATAGATATTCCCAAATACTGTGCAATGCAAATTTTCAAAGGGCCTTCCAAAACTTACCTTCTGAGGAGAGCAACCAAAGGAACAGCACACCTAACAATAGCTTCATGGTAACCACCTCTATGAATGATAATCCTGGAGTGCTGTGTTTTAGATGTTAAGGCTGAAAAGAAAGAAATTCTCTTCCTTTTTCTCCTTTATACCTTGAAAGTTGATAACTCAGCAGCCATAAAACTTATTAGCTTCTACCTTTGGAAAGCAAAGTGACGATGATATCTCATTTCATTGCCCATCCAAGGGTCAGAGAAGGGCACAGCTTCTCTCACTTTGTTCAGACAGAGCTGGCCATTTTTCAGGAGAATTCTCAGCAAATCTAAGGACCAAGATCACATGAGTCAGCTTCCAGCAGGGTCAAGGCTCTTTCAGGCAATACATAACATATTAGTTTGGCATTAGCCTGCCTCTGCCAGTCAGGGAAGGAGCCTCTGCTCCTGAGGTGACAAGGACAACTTGAACCCTATGCAGCAGCCCACACCGACCCAGAGAGGAAGGTTGTGCTCTTCTTTTTGTCTCTTTCCCTACCTGTGCTCCTTTCTTGCCTTCAACCAGACTCATGCTGTGTCTGTTTCTCTTCTGCTAGCTCCTCTTCTGGCAGATTTTCCTTCGCTGGGTTGTGCCTCACCAGTATTTGCCATGACAGAGCAGTGCCAGACAAGCAGGATCAGTAACTCTGCCCTCACACTGCACAGGTCCCCAAACCCCTTGCTGTGACACTATTACAGCAGCAGTCACTTCAGCAGAGTCAGAGAGCATGCAGAAATGCCAGCTAGACTGTGATACAACACCCCCCAGTGAGACTACCACCATGCCTCAGCTACAGCAGCAGGGTCAAACCTCTGAAGAGCAGCCTGCTGTCCTCACACACAACACCAGAGTGACCTTTGGCCTCTTCAAGCCCACCAGAGAGAGCTCCTACATGAATAATGGGAGTCTGCTTAAGTAAAGAGCTTTAAATGCTTAAATAAGCCACTAACACACCCAACTCAGGCAGTCTAACCCATCCTTCAAAGGGGTTTTTGTTTATTTGGGCTTTCTGTTCTTTCATGATAGAAATTTGTCATTCCTTGAAGGAACATGTTGGAGGTAGATCTTGTGATCATTTCTTTTCAAAAACCAGGAATGCTATATTAATTCTGAACATGAACAGCTGTCGTTCAGAGCAACATGCAAGGAGGAATGTACATAGACAGGGGAAAGCATTCCTTCACCCCCTGAACCTGCACCCTCAACTCAGCAAAAGCATACCAGCACAAGGGGCTTCTCACCTCAGACACAGCAGCATGTTCAAGTCTGAGAAGGATGAGCTCATTCTGCTTGGGGGACTCACACCTGAAACAGTCTGACCAAACCCAAACTCCTTTAACCAGTAAGGTAACGAAAAGTTAAAGCCTTACTCAGTGTCAGGGCACAGCACCACCCCAGCAAGCCTGGGCTGAGCTGCAGGGGCAGTCCCAGGCACCTGGTCAGAATGAGGGGGTGCAGGTGAGGCTGGTCAGGACCATCGTCACCTCTCAGTCAAGGAGGCAGTGCACAGTCTCAGCGTGGATGGGAGTTACCTTTCGTGGGTTTTGTCATTACATCCAAGGGTTTGTGGCTGCTTCACTCCTCAAGGGAAAGCTCTCACTATCAAAAGTCTGAGAAACAGACTTGAAGACCTGGAAGTGTTTAAAACCCCAGAAAGCCTCTTCCTCATTGTACACCAAGAAAAAAACAAAAAGGAAGGTTGCAATAATTCATTCATTTGCCATAAACCACAGATGCAAGAGTAAGTTTAGCCTTTAAATGCTGTGACATGCTCCAGAAGCAAAACAGCATTAACTTCAAGGCTTGTAAATCTCTTGTAAACACTCCTTCCCACCACCAAAGGATCAAAATAACTCCTAGACTGAATAGCAAATAACAAGTGGCAGCAAAGATCAAAAAAGTTTGCAAAAGGAAGAAGAGAAAATTTTCTATTAGATATAGAAGGTGTCAGAGAGAAATTAAGGCTTTTACATTACTGCAAGGGGAAAGCTAGATGCAACTACAGAAGGCAAGGAGAATTTCAGACCATGATGGTATTTAGGAATACCCTAGGGAACTGCACCCATGTAGCTGGGTGCAGTTGATCAACACAGAGCATCTAATGATCAACACAGAATATCTTGTGTCTTCCCTAAAGCGCCTGCTGCTGCTCAGGTGGGACAAGGAGCTAGCTAGGCCTGGTAGTTAACCCTGCCTGAATGGTGTGAGTCTTCTTGCTGCTTGCCCTGGATGGAGAGGGCTCTTAACACAGCTGGCACAGAAGAGTTTTGAGCGAGATTTGTTGGTGAAAAGCAGAATTTTTCTGCCTTGCCATGTTCTCAAGCAAAGGACCTGTTTCACAGGTCCACACCCAACCATGCAAAACACCACAAAAAAAAATTGTCAAGTCCAGTTACAGTTTTAAAGCCAGCAACGCCCAAACAGATACTCAAACACAGGTGCTAAAGCATATTAGCCAAACTCTTTGGTTCATTGCTACATTTTTAGGTGGCTTATAATATGTCTAAAGCTTTACCTTTCATACCTGGTATGGGAGCCACAGTTGGGAAAGCCATGGGATTTTTTTTTAGCTTGTCTTTAAGCTTTTCCTTACCTCCTCTATTAAACAGAGTTTTTCCCGGCATTTCTTTTATTCATACAGAGTACCAAACCCCAAAAACTCTTTCAATCTAAGTCCTCACCTATAAGACCACAGTTTTAAAATACAAATAATGAAAGTATGGCTACATATTAAAAGATGAAAATCCTCAACAATAAAAATAAACAGCCAAAAAGCTCCATAGCACTTAACCACTCATAATTACAAGATGTTTGTACTTGTACTAAGTTAGGGAGGTAGCTTACTCAACTGCTAATAAGCAAAAGTCATATGTCAGCAGATAATCTTATTGCAGCCACAAAACTATCATGTTACACTGGCATAGCAGAGGACTTCTTGTGAAAATACAAAGCAGACCGAGTTTCCATTTCATTTGAAGATACAGCCTGTTTGTGACCTGTTACTGCTTCAGCTAATCCTATTGCCTTGACAAAGCACTACATCCCGAATTTTGTATTTAGGAAGCATATCCCTGAATTATTTCATCTACGAAGCACCCATCTGTGATGGGCAGAACATGACAGTGCTTACTAAAACGTCAGGAATAAATCATATACAAAAGCAAGACATGTCATGTGTCCTTGTGATGTTGCGCCGTTGACTCCTCCTGCTGTGATTCACACCACTGGTAAATTTAGTGCATAGTCTGGACCTAAACAGAAGATGTTCCTCCTCAGGGGAGTTCAGACATGCAGTAGAGGGTGAGGAGATCAAGTGAGGCCAGGGGCAGGCAGGGACATGAATCACCGGGCAGCAGTTCTGCGGCAGCAGGCAGCAGAGCTGCACAGCTTGAAGGAGGCTGCTACCACCTGCTGGAGGGAGCGCAAATCCTCCAAGGAACGAAGAACACAGACGGGAATGCGGAACTGGAAAGCGCTGATCTGCATACGGTCAGGTTACCGAGAGTGGGCAAAAGGCCTTGTAATGCTTGGTGCATGCCTCTAAAAACTCAGGCTTTTGGAGAGTTGGCAGGTGAGAAGGATATACATTATTTCTAAAATGGCTTTAGAAAAGAAATCTTGGTTTAAAAAAAATGCAAACACAAGGCCTCAAATACACTTCCCTAAATTTTTCTAAGCTCAGTGCATGTTGTACTCTGACTTTTATAGTTAGGATCTGCATAGCTGCTACAGCAGATATGGCAGTAAGTCTAGGACACTGCTCTATATGGCAGTAAATAAACAGTACATAAATAAATAAGGTCACCACTGCAACTATACCCATGTTTTGGATGGGCTATGAAGCAGTGCTCTCCTGCAAGCACCTACCAGCAGCTGAAGGCAGAAACATAACAACAAAACCTCTGATCCAATGTTAATAATTGAATGAAACTTGAAATTTCTTCCTTTTGCCTTAAGCAGGGCACAACCTCCCACACAGATTGTATGGCTCCTTGCTGAGGGCACAAGCCCTTTAGCCACTCATCTGTGGCTGGCACCAAAGTACAGCCTAAAGTCCATCTCCACAGACTGCTCAGTGCTGCAGAGAGGCTGGTGGGGTCCAGCCTGCCTTTGCAGCTTGTGTATCTGCCACAGGTCCCTCAATCCCCACCCACTGTCACAAAAACACGGTGTGCCCTCTGCAGCACTGAAGGAGGCTGCTACCACCTCAAAAGCTGGAACTGCTCCTCACTGCCTGTTCTAGCAGCTGCTGGGCCTTTGATACAGGCGAGCTGCAGGTCATGCTGAAATCCTCCCAGCTCCTTGGGGCAGGAGCCCCTGAAGCCTAATGGTAACTGCAAGGCTGCTGAGGACTCCGAACAGCCAAAGAACAGCAGAAGCCAAGATTTAAAGATCCTCTGCTAAAGACTCTTTTTACTGACTTTTCTGTATTGTGAAGATTCGTTTGAGTCTGTAAGCAGCAAGAAGTTGGGGACCAGATACTTCCTGTGGCCGCCTCAGTTGGCCCCTTGGTTATCAAATCAGGAGATAAAGCTCATTTCTGGGGAGCCCTGTTTACAGCCACAGACTCGAAAGGGTTCACCAGTGCTACCACAGCCTTGAGAAAGCAGTGCTGGCAGGAAGGCAGATAGAAAAGGGAAGCAGTCTGCCTGCCTCTGATAGGCAGTGATGGCATTCGAGGGCAGGCACCAGAAAATATGTGCTCCCTTCCCGTGTCTCTGGGTGAGCTTGTTGCTGCTCGCATGCAAAGAACCTAATTCTCAAACATTTGCATGGAAATCAGGCACCTAAATAAACACTGCTATGAGTTGAAGAAGTCTCAAAGTGCTGTGTTTCTCTGTAAAATGAAAACATGAGTATTCCCTTTCTTCCATTATTTTCCATTAAGCTATAAAATTCCCAAAGCAGTGCCAGCTTTTGGCTGTTTGTATTCACGCCACAAAGGGACTCTGTTGTCAGCCAGAGCTGTAATTGCAGCAGCCAGTGTGGGAAGCTCCTGACTCTCCTGTGCTCTCTGAAGCTCTTCCCACATGAAGCTGCAACATATAGATTCTGTGGGGTCATCCTGTCTAGGTGCCAGGGGGTCCCAGACGTGCCAGTCCATCTATGCACATGCTCATAATGCTCTGTTTACCTGACTCCCCCGCAGAAGTTTGTTTCTCAGCCTGTCTTTATGTGTCAAAAACATATTACTTTGACCCCAGTGAGCCAGCCCCAGATGTGCTGTATTCCTTTTGCATCATTAGTACTTGTGCTGCTCTTGG